AGGGGAGGGATCCGGTAAGAACCCCTCCTTATATAAGAACCCTAGTTATATAAGAACCAATCTCAGCCGTAGGATTAAGGTAATTTAGACGGTTAAGATTAAAACACGTATTTTTCCTTATACCCTCTACCAACCGATCAAAATTTTCTCTCTCCTCTAACTTTCTCTCTCTTCGTGTTCATCACATTCTCTCTCTGCAAACCCCAAAAATCTCCATAGAAATTGCAATTTGAAGGATTTTCGACTCAGGTTTGTTTTTTTTTTCGATTTTGTTCAAATTTCCATGAACTTAGCATGATGTTCATAGATTTTGCGATTTTTTGATTTGATTTTTGCGATTTTATGTTTCCGATTTTTTGATTTGATTTTGCGATTTTGTGATTTGATATTTGCGTTTTTCTGTTTTGATTTTAATGAATTTCGCATGGAGTTTGATTTTTTTGAGTTCGATTTTTTCAAATTTCGCGTTCGAATTTAGGGTTCTTTTTTTGCGGATTTAGGATTCTAATTTAGGGTATTCGAATTTAGGATTTAGGATTCAACACACAACAAACCGCTTGTTTTCTCTCTTTTTTGTGCAATAGTGTGTATAGCACAATGATTATATTAGTGGCTTTGCAGCCATTTTTCCCTGCTTATATTCATTGCTGTAATGTTCTGTATCAATTTTGATTCATTGATTAAATATATCAGGTTTTGGGTAATTAAACTCGTGTTATTAAAATTGAAAAACATTTATTTTTTTCCTTTTTTTGTTGGTCATTAGTTCAGTTCATAGCAGTAGTCATCCAAATTATGGTGTAACAACTACTTGTGTATAATGCCTACCCCGATACACTCAAGAATAAGAATAAGTTCTGTTAAAAATTGTTTGTTAAGTAAACAATTCAGGCTAAACAAAACTTTTAAACTCGATTAATGAGCAAGCATAGCTTGAACAACTTGGCATTACTTGTTCTGCTTGCATCAATTCGTCATGTCTAAAAACAAATCTGGCTTATTCTCTATGTTCTATTTTTTCTTATTTTTGCGGATCTATAGTTCGAATTTAGGGTTCAATTTTTGCTAATTTTTTCGAATTTTGATTTCGAAATTGGTGATGTTGGTGCGATTGCCCCTGCTTGTAGGGGTTGTGGTGTGGTGGTTGATTTATGCAACAACAGCTAATTGGTTAGGGGTTGTTGGTTGTGAACTTGTGATTGCAGGGCTGAAAATAAACTTTAGAACATAGGTAGAAAAAATTTGGAACATAGAAAAAAATTAGAACATAGGTTGAAATAATTTAGAACATGGTGTTGATCTTTCCACGTTGTTCTTGTCGATATGTTTATAGAATGTCAATGTTATGATCTAAAATACACTTTTAAGATACGCAAGCAACTGACATAGCTTAGCATGTTCTAAACTCTTTTTAAGCATGTTCTAAACTCTTTTAGAACATGGTGTTGATCATTGTGGAAATATATGAAGTAACCAGCATTATTCGTTCAACACTTCTGGTTATTCTCCATTTTGTTTTATGGGAAGTTTTGAAGCTACATGTGGTGTTCTTCCATTCTGGTCTAGACTGGTCCTCTTCTCTTTTGTGAACTATAATGATTTGGTGTTGACTGTTGTTGCCTAGCTGGGTTTGCTCTTTTCTGTTTCTTGCTCCTATCTGTGTCCTGCTCCAGCTTTCCTGCTTTGTGCTGTTATGTGCAGCTGTTGCTTGGTGTGCAGGCTGGCTTTCTCTGTTTCAGGCTGCTGTTTGTGGTGCTGGTTCAGGCTGTGATGCCTGCCTTGCTGTGTGTTGCTAGATGTTTCCTGGTGCTGCTGGTGCTGTTCTTGGTGTTAGCAGCCTAGTCTCCTGCTAGCTGCTGTTTCTTTGTGCTGTGTTGCTGTCTGGTGCTGCAGCTGGCCTTCTGGGCTCGGGTTGTTGCTGTTGTCCGTTTGGTGGTGCAGCTGGTCTGCTGAGGTCTGTTTCTGGTTGCTGCTGCTGTTGTAGGTTGGTGCTGCTGGTTCCACTTGCTGCTGCTGTTTCTGCTTGCTGTTATTGCTGTTTCCTGTTTTTGTTCGGGTTTTTTTTGGCAGTTTCTAGGCGTTGGTGTTTTGGTTTCTATTTGTTATTTTATCTTTGGCCTTTTCTTTTGTTCCCCATTTCTGGCAATAATAAAGAGTATAGTTCATTCTATATTATGGGACTGCTTTAGCCTTCATTTTTGTGTTGTCGATATTCTTCGCATTCAACTGTCTTGTTTTGGTAGGACAATAAGCTGGTGCATTCGAAAGTCTGAGCCTCTTATTGGAATTCCAATGGTTAAGGTGATGACTTCCCGTCTTGGGTCAGTAAACACAATGAACTGTCAATTAAACTTTCAGTTGTGTGTTGCAGGGATTATGCTCATTCAGGAGCGGCATGTTTAATTATGCTTAACTAAACCTAGATTATGTAACGGTAATGACACGATTGGAGCATTGTCTCATATTAGGGAAAGGTTAATTCACGGCTAACCTTTGATTCAAATACACCTAATTCCTACATTGAGTGCCGTTACTTACTCGTTACATTCTACTATCCCAAATTTTGCACAAATTATTGACATTGTTACTAATAAAACTTTAGAACATAGTTAGTAAAAATTTAGAACATAGAAAAGAAAAACAACTTTAGAACATAAGTAGACTAAATTTAGAATATAGGCAAAAGAATTTAGAACATAGGTAAAAGAATATTTAGAACATAGGAAAAAAAAAAAAAAAACTTTAGAACATAGGTAGAAAAAACTTTAGAACATAGGTGTAGAATATACGAACAACTTTAGAACATAGGAAAAATTTGGAACATAAGAAAATGATTTGCAACATAGTAAAAATTTAGAACATAGGAATATAGAACATTGGGAAAAAAAAAAGATCATAGGAAAAAAAATTGGAAATTTAGAATATTGGGAAAAAAAAAGAGCATAGAAAATAAGTTTAGAACATATACTAAAAATTTAGAACATACGGTGAAAAAAATTAAAACATAAGGTAAAAATTTAGAACATATGATAAAGTTTAGAACATAGATAGAAAAAATTTAGAACGTACGGAAAAAAAAATAGAAAATAGGTAGAAAAAATTTTGAACATAGGATAAAATTTAGAGCATACAGAAAAAATTTAGAGCATATGAAAAAAATTTAGAACATACGAAATAACTTTAGAACATAGACAAAAAAATTTGAATATAAGATATATATTTAGAACATGGACAGAAAACTTTAGAACATAAACAATAAAATGTAGAACATAGGAAAATAGTTTAGAACATACATATATTTAGAGCTTAGATTGAAAAATTTAGAGCTTAAGCAATAAATTTTAGAACATATGCAAATAATATTTAGAACATATGATAAAACCTATTAGCTCAATTGGAAGAGCATTATGCAAATGCATAGAGGATGTAGGTTCAATTCCTTCATAGGTTATCTTTATAAATAACTAAAAAAAACTTCAAATGTTTTTTTTTTAAAAAAAAAATCCAATAAAACAAATTAAATAAGCACTAAGTTATATGAGCAGAAAATAAGTAGACTAAATTTTGAACATAGGAAAAAAAAACTTTAGAACATAAGTAGACTAAATTTAGAACATAGGAAAAAACAAATTTAGAACATAGGTAAAAGAATATTTAGAACATAAGAAAAAAAAAAAACTTTAGAACATAGGTAGTAAAAATTTAGAACATAGGAAAAAACAAACTTTAGAACATAAGTAGACTGAATTTAGAACATAGGCAAAAGGTAAAAGAATATTTAGAACATAGGAAAAAAAACTTTAGAACATAGGTAGAAAAAATTTAGAACGTAGAAAACAAAACTTTAGAACATAAGTAGACTAAATTTATAACATAGGGAAAAAAAATTAGAACATAAATAGACTAAATTTAGAACATAGGAGTAGACAAAAAAATTTAGAACATAAAAAAAGAATTACAGAAATGCCATTACTAAAGAAACTTTAGAACATAGGTAGTAAAAATTTAGAACTTAGGAAAAAAAACTTTAGAACATAAGTAGACTGAATTTAGATCATAGGCAAAAGAATTTAGAACATAGGTAAAAGAATATTTAGAACATAAGAAGAAGAAAAAAAACTTTAGAACATAGGTTGGAAAAATTTAGAACATAGGAAGAAAAAAAAAAAAAAAAAAAAAAACTTTAGTATATAAGTAGACTAAATTTGGAACATAGAAAAAAAAAATTAGAAAATAGGTAGACTAGATTTAGAACATAAGAGTAGGCAAAAAAATTTAGAACATAAAAAAAGAATTACAGAAATGTCATTACTAAAGGATGGTTTTAGATGGTTGGATCAAAACTAATAAATGGTTGAGATTGGTTCTTATATAAGATTGAGTTCTTATATAGAGGAGGGTTCTTACATGAGCCTTCCTCTATATATATATATATATATATATATATATATATATATATATATATATATATATATATATATATATATATATATATATATATACACACACACAATATATATAATTAGGGTTTGATTGGATAAGAATATAAACCCTAGATCTATCTAGAATATTCTAGAATGATACAAGGAGTATAATGGGCATCCACACAATATTTCATAACACAATCAACTATTATACCTTTTTTTTAAATTCAAAACTAGATACTCTTTTTTTTGAATGGTTCAAAACTAGATACTTAATTCTTTGTACAATAACTAATCAATTTACATGAATATTAACAATAATAATATCTAACGTACAAGTAATTATCAACAAAATGTAAACAAATTTGAGAAAGTGTGGTATCGTTTAGAATTTTCGGTTTTAAATATTTCACTTCCTCCATGGTGAGATTGGACAAATAGTTTCGCATTCTTTGAACTTGTCCTCCTTTACCTTCACTAATTGGAAGAAATACAGAGTAAACTTTTGCCCCTAAAAAATGTGGACAATTCTAAGTAATTTTAAGGGTATAGAGTGAGTCATAAAGAGAAATGATGAAGACGTGATTAGATCGACCTTAACCAACTAATCTAGCTAACGTTCACTAATAATCACTTAACAACATTTAAACCAAGACAGTGAGAAACACACCGAAATATTTGACCAAAAGGTTATCACAAGAAACAACTCAAAGTCTCAAACAAGCACAAGTGCACAACAATGAGTCAATGAATATGTAAATATTTCGTATTAACGAAAATAATAAGGAGATTAGGAAATAAACAAATGAAATAATCTTTGCATTTGTTTTATACGTTTCCCAGATTCCGACCCACGCTTTCTTTCCCTCCCTTCACTCCCAAACACCCATCTCCTCTAAACGCAAAAAACAAAGTAATTTGCAGAGATTTTGGTGGGAAATCAAATTTTTTTATTGGGTCTGTAAAAAAATATAAAATTTTCCAATTTTTTGGAGAAATTAAATTTTGAAGAAAATTAAGGTGGGTAAATTCTAAAAATGCAGAATTTCATATCCCAGAAACTTCGAGATTTGGACGCATACCCTAAAATCAATGAAGATTTCTACAAGAGAACTTTCTCCGGCGGTGTCGTCACCGTTGTCTCCGCCATCATCATGTTCCTCCTCTTCTTGTTTGAGCTCAGTATGTCTCTTTTTATTGGTTTTGTAAGTTATTATAATTTTTAAAAAACTTGTCCCTTTTTTTTTTGTTTTTTTTGAGAATTTCTGTGTAAGTTTTTATTTTTGATTTGACAAGCTAATGGGTAATTAGTGGTTTACATAATTTTTTGTTTGATGGGAAAGAGTAGGTGAAAATTTTGACAAATTGATCATAATTAGTTGGGAATTTGGGATGTGAGAAATGATTGAAATATTTACAAGTAGATTAGTCTATTTGCATTTGCAAATACCCTTGTTAATGTGTAGCCTTAATTACTGCTAATAGAGGGAAAGAGAAAAAGGAGGGAAGATATTTTGTTATTTGAGGCAATCTAATATCTGTGTAACTAGGGCGCTAGCGCATTTGAGTACAATAGAAAAAGTAGTTGACTAGAGGAGCATTTGTGGGTTAATGGAGCTAAGTGAGTCATTATCGAGAAATACGAGAATATTTTTAGCTTTGGATAATTGTTATCGAAAATTCAAGTGGAATTTCCGATGTTAGTGAGTTTCGAATCAAGGGTTTAATGGGGTAAATCGGTTCTGTATTTTCTGGGATAGTGGTGTGTCTGGTTTGCCTCACCTCGTTTGAGGCACTGAGTAATGATGGATTTAGGGTTTGGACTCCCTTGGTTTGTGGTTATGGTATGGTCAATGCTGGTGTAGGAGCATCTTGTTTTAGAAGTATCTAAGCCAGAGAGCTGAAAAATGAACCAGATGTGCTGTGCTGGATCATTAATTGCATATCTGTCAAGTCTCAACCCTCTCTTTTTGCCACCCTTGTTTTGATAGACTGTCTTGTTTTCTTTACGTGTAGTGTACACCTAGTTTGGCTGTACCTAAAAAAGCTTCATTTTTGGGTTGTGTTGCCTTTAGCTGAGCCAAAGTCTTTAAATGGCTTAGTTGGCATTCATTTAGTTGTTTACTTGCTTGAGATCATGAACTGATCCACTTGCCCCTACATTGAAATGGTGTATATTGGTAGTAATAGGTTAATACTGTTGTTGTTCAGACCAAATATAATTCCTTGATTCATTTTGGATTTTATCGGTGGTAGTTTTCTGTAGTATGCTTAGGAATAAGGAATGGTCAGAGAAATGTCCAGAGGTTGTTTATCTTGTAATAATAGTGTCCCAATATTGGTATCCAAATCATGATGATAGATACAATGATGATCATTATATTCTACTCGATAGGATCAATATTTATGTGATGCAACTTTTGCTGAGATCTGCTTAGTGTATGCTAATAACGGTTGCTATGGATATGTGATCATGTAATGTGAGTATGTGACTAATTGTCATTGATCAAAAAATTTGTGATTCCAATGTGGTTTGTGATGCTTGTGTCTATTTATAGTTTTGTAGATTTAACTTTGGAGTTTGAACCTTGTTCTACCAAGGCATTAAATGTAACATTCATGTGTTCTTTTGCATCACTGACCACTTGTATCGCGCACCTCTCTATTTTCCTGCAGAATCATATCTGCATACTGTTACAGAGACGACACTTGTAGTGGATACATCTAGAGGGAAAAATCTTCGTATTAATGTAAGTACATTCTTTTGCTTGGAATGCTCTCCCTTGCATTTTATGATTTTTATCTCATTTATGGCTTGTGACAACACATTTGACTTCTGCTTCCTTAATCCTACGTTTCAGCAATATATTACTGTCTTTTGCGGGAATCCATAACTGTACATTAACTTCAATAAGTAATTGCGCAAGTCAATTAGATCCTTTTTTTTTTTGGTTCTTTTCTATACTATTTTTAATTTTGATTGTATACACAGATTCTCATGGATATTTTGTATCTTCTTCTGAATTCGTTAGTCAATTTTTGATGCTTGCTCTTTTCTTGTTAATTGCAGTTTGATATTACTTTTCCAGAAGTTCCTTGCACGGTTCTCAGTGTTGACGCTGAAGATATCAGTGGAGAGCGGCATTTTGATATAGTATGTAACTAAAGAGACATGCTTCTCCAGCCTTTGTCATTTATTGTTTTTCTGATCATATGTTTTGTTTGGCTTACTTGCAGAGACATGACATTGTCAAAACAAGAGTTGATGCTCATGGGAACGTGGTTGATACTAGGCGAGATGGCATTGGAGCGCCGAAGGTTAGATAAGTGGCCTTTTTTTTTTTAAATCTTCCTTAAAAGTAATGAAATATTTTAGTGCATTTCACAGTCACTTTTAGCTTTCATTAATGTCCCCTGTCAGTTGTTATATTATGCATAATTTTACCATCATATTGTGGAACAGATTAGTATTCTGTAATTAAAGTTTATAGTGGTGTGTATATATGCTAAATACAATTTAAAGGGGACAACCTTGGCTTAGAAGGGATAGAGAGAATAGTCTTGACAAATTAAATCAAATACCTAATTTATACTCCTTCCGTTTCGCATTAGTTTCAACAATAGGCTTGGCTCATAGTTTAAGAAAATTATAGACTAGGCTTATAGGCTTATAATATAAAGTATTGTTAGTAAGAGATAGAAATAATAAGAAAAGTAGCATGGGTGGGGTTGGTAAGAAAGAGAAATAATAAAATATATGTGAAAGTGGGGTTAGTGGGAGAGAGAAATTATAAAATAATGGTGGGTCCTTTCCAAATATAGTAGTGTTGCAACTAATATGAAACGGCCGAAAATGAAAAGTGTTGCAACTAATGCGAAACGGAGGGAGTAGTTAGGATACAGGGAATAGCATTATTAATTTATTTCATGGTGCTAGTTTTAATTAATTCTATTACTTTATCTGTAGATTGCGAAGCCTTTACAGAAGCATGGTGGCAGACTTGAACACAATGAGACATACTGTGGTTCATGTTATGGAGCAGAAACGGTAGTTTCCCTTGTCTATTAACTCTGGTGCACACAGTATCATTCATATGGCAGATTATTGCATTGTGTACCTGCATGAATTTAAAATTCAAAATTATAATCATGATCATGAATTACTCCTCTTTTTAAGGGTGAACTGCTTGTTATCAGCTATGTATCCTGAAGGAAACATTTGCCCAACCCTTGTCTATTATTGCTTATGTAATCTGTTTGACAGAGAGATCAATAACATGAGTTAAGGAGGGTGCAAGGGCCTCAATTTATTACCTGATATCCTGAATTTTGTTAGAATAGCCTTTGGTTCTCCATCTTTATACGTATCTATATCTTTCTTTTTAAGTGCTTGATGTTTAGGTATTGTTTGAAACTCATTTCAGCTTAGTTTCTACCCTACAATATTACAAACAAGAGTTTTCATGATTTTGTTCTGTGTTAATGTGTTTCCGGAATGCTGACTGCTTAACTAAGATAGGTAGAAATGATGTTCTGAGGATTTCTGCTTAAGCACAATATATGTATTGGCATGGCAAATACATCACTAAATTTTTTAGACCCAAGGTCCTTATATATAATGGAAGATCAGGGAGAATTTAATGGGACGCACCTTCAAGTGCTCATGTAAAGTACCTGCTCTACAAGAAGTGACCTAAAGCTTTTTAATCTGTAGGAGTGATCAATCCCCTAATTTTCAAAAAGAAGGGAGGGGGAGGAGGAATGTGTTTTTTTAACGTGTTTATCAAGTGCATTTCTTCACGGTTTTTTTGATCCATAATTTCCATTTCTTCTGCAGTCTGATGATCATTGTTGCAACTCTTGTGAAGAAGTTCGTGAGGCATACAGAAAGAAAGGTTGGGCGTTGACGAATATGGATTTGATTGATCAGGTTATTTTATTTTCTATTTTTTTGGAATTGTTAAAATTTCCTGTTTGAAACCAGATGTGCCATATATTTCATTGAAATGTGAACTATAATTATGGGTCTTAATGATCCTTGAAGCTAAACTTGTTCTGCCAGAGGCACTTTAAATAATTTTCCTTGGGTTTGTGCTGTTAAAGCTGTTTACAAACTTTACTTGTGGGACAAATATCAGCTGTTACTGGTAGTAATATGATGCTGGGATGAAGAAACTGTCCTAAAGAATTTAGCAAGGAGTAAAACTTGTCAAGTTTTGTATGATCAGTGGCTGTTATTGCATACAAACCTAGTGATGCTGGAATGTGTGTAATATACCCATAGAGCTCTAGCAACTGTCTTAAAATGCACTTATATTGCATATTGGTAATATTATTACTTATACTTAAAAAATTTCTACATTGTGAATGTGTGTGCTTGCCTCGCCAACTACATAGTTAATATTAACCTCCCAGAGTCGATCGGTCTAGGGGGTCTAGTTTTTGGCTCGACTTAAATTTTCAGTCTTGGAAATTTATTGCAAGGTGACCTGGTGTATTCAACACATAACATGTTATTGTGCCTATCATGTCCAGTATTTATTCCAAACTCCTGTTTTACTTCATTGCTGGCTGATTGTGCCTATCATGTTCAGATGTGTATATGTGGCTGGCTTTAACTCTGCTTAAAGATACTCCCTCCCCTGATTTCTTCTTCCTCTCATATGAGCAGTGTGAAAGGGAAGGATTCTTCCAAAAGATCCATGAGGAAAAAGGTGAAGGATGCAATATTAATGGATTTCTGGAAGTTAATAAAGTGGCAGGGACATTTCATTTTATTCCGGGGAAGACTTTCCATATGTCAGAGTTCCATCTTAGTGATTTATTTGCTGTCCAAACGGACAACTACAATGTGAGTTATGACACTGTTAATACTCTTCTAATACTTCATGTATATATATACTTATTCTTTTATGTTCTTAGACTTAGTGTACTTATTTGATATTCATGACAGATAAGCCATAAGATCAACAAGTTAGCTTTTGGAGACTATTTTCCTGGCGTTGTTAATCCTCTGGATGGGTAATTTTTCTTTATCTTTTATTAATAACCTTTGAGTTGAATAACAAAAGATTTGATGTTTCATAAAAATGACCTAAAGAGGAGTTGAAAGCCTATAATGATTTTGACCATGCTTATTGCAAGTGTTCATGATGCATGCAATCTATGCATCACTGTATCCCCTAAGAGAGGCTTCTTTTTGCTGTATCTTAGCGGAGTATTGTCTCATTCATTATTTCTTACTCCCTAAATTTCATAAAGGATGTTTTCCTCTTTGAATTTTTCCTAGATGAATGTTCTAGTTAACAATTCTCTTTCTGGGTATCTATGCACTATTCTCTGAAAGCTATCTTCATAGGTTCTTATCCACTTCTCTCAATCTGTGATAGGTCAACTAAGTAAACACTATGAATGGAGGGAATGACATCAATCAATTAAGAATGGTCACTAAAAGACTAAAAATTTAATTCATAACCTCTATAGTTTTCCTGTCCTAGTTTTTTCTGTGCTGAAGCTGAACTTAGATGTTCTGATGTTTAAGTAAAAGGACAAGAAAGCATTTCTTGTGATCTTTTGGACTTTCAGCATTTGTGTTAAAGTCGTTTAAAAAGTAACAATCAAATTGGTTGATTCCTAGTGTATACAGAATCGGTTGTGGGGAGGGGGGGGGGGTGTATCCCCGGATAATTATTTTTGGAGTGGTAAAAGCGTTGAATTTTTTAACCATGAATGATTTCTTGGATTCGCGGAGATTACTTGAGCTAGGGACCTTTTTCAGATCAGCTTCACATGGCCTATCTTGATTGACAGCCTTGGGGAATAATCATTATGTTGTCCATGGGTATAAATTTATATGTAATACTTGTTTGATTTGACATAATGCCAAACTCATGCTCGATGGCCTCTTTGGTACTTTGTTGGAGAGACTTCAAAACATTGGAGGGTGTGGCTCATGATTTTCAACTACCTCCCTACCCCCTGTGTCTATATTGGTCGTCTGGACTATATTGGCAGCAAACTTAGCATAAAAGTGAAGTTTATAACTTGTAAATAAATGAGAGGAATTTTCAAGGAAAGTAGAGTAAATTTGAAACATGATCCCCTTTACTCCTTGGACTCTGTATTTAAGCCCAGTCTTCTCTCCTTTTGTTATCTATACTCTGTATTAAATACTTTGTTGTCTAAGGTTGAGTTGTTTTTGGATCAACGTCTATTGACTAAAATTGATTATATTACTTTTAGGGTGCAATGGTTACAAGAGACAACAAGTGGATCTTACCAGTATTTTCTTAAGGTTTGCTCCATGATTGCAAGTCTGTCCGTTTTCTCTTGTTTTCAAATTTAAACATCCTTACTTTTTTACCCTAAACATATGCAAAAAGCCCGTACAATATATGGGGGTGCTTCAGTCGTAAGATAATCCTTTTGCTTTTGCTTGATGATTTGGAAGATAATCATTAGATTCTCTATTTTAGGTTGTCCCAACAATATACACCGATGCAAGACGACGTACTATCCTGTCTAATCAGGTACTCAGTCCACATAATTATTGGGTTTTTGCTGTCGTGATGTTTTGCTTATCTCAGCTCAGTGATGGTTTGTACAGTTTTCTGTGACAGAGCACTTTAAAAATTCAGAACCAGGACGCTATCAGACTATCCCTGGGGTTTTCTTCTATTATGATCTTTCTCCAGTCAAGGTTGGTTTCGTTTTCTACCATGGAAGCTTAATTCTATATGAATATGTACACTTTCACTAAATCTTCACATGTATTTTTGTTTTTTACTGCTTATTTTAATAGTCTTGTCTTCTGTTTTTTTTTCTCTCCTCCCTTTTGCCCTTTACACTTCTATGTAATAGATTAACTGTACTAACCTTACTATACTTTTCTTTCTTGCTACAAATAAGAACACAAGTAATATAAAAATTTCGGTGGCTGAATTTATCTATAATGTTTCAGGTAAATTTCACGGAGAAGCACATGTCCTTTTTACACTTCTTGACTAATGTCTGTGCAATAGTTGGAGGTACAATTCTTCTTCCTCTATCTCTTTAACTGCTCCAATCTGTCCCCCCTATACTTTGAAGCTGGCAATCCACCTTTTTCGGATGTACATATTTTATGGACTCCTTCCTAGCATAATTTTTTTTTTCTTTTTTGTTTTTTTAAAAAAAAGTCTCTGAAGAAGATGAAAAGAAGGATTGTAGGGAAAAAGGCAGTGGCAACTGGCAAACTATTCCTAGGCAAAATTAATTATTGCCCTGTACAACTTGGAGTTTGAGCTGTTAGGAAATGATTTTGGGATCTGTGGTGTTTGCCAAATATGTGTTTGCACCTGCATTGCCTCGTAGTTGATTTTGCTGTATACCCCTCTCAACAACCCAATTTATTATTGCTTCTGCTATATGTTATTGGCCACTAACCATCTGAAACCAAAGACCTTGACATATCTCAGATTTCTCATCTTACTTATGTTTCTGCTGTGGTATTACTTGCTGAACTTGTTAAGACATCAGTAGTACTGAAATCTTTGCTCGTTTGTCAGGCACTTTCACAGTTGCAGGGATAGTAGATTCTTTTGTTTATCATGGTCGTAAGGCTATGAAAAAGAAACTATAGAAAAAATTTGGTTGAGCTATTGCTAGAGCAGAAAGTTTTCCAGCTCCCAGTTGATTATGTACTCTTATATCCTCGATTTTCCTGGGTGAAATACGGTGTGAAATTATAGGAGAGGATTGTCCTAGAGTGTGACTCAGTGCCTGGTGGCTTATGGCATGGCGGTCAATTTTGGCCGATGGGCTTGCTTGATTGTTAAGCAGTTATTGTTGTGCTATTGAGCAATTAGTCATTCATTTTTGTTGAATTATGTACTCCGTAATTGCTGGTGTACATGTCCACAGCTTCCTATTATCAAAATTGTCTCTCCTATACGAACAGCTGAAATTCAGTTACAAGAGTATTGATGTGTAGATTATTTAGACGATTTGATGTTAGACATTGCTATACGAACAGCTGAGATTTTAATCAATACCACTTCGGTCAAGTTCCTTGGACAAAGCAGTACTTTCTACGTTTCTTTTGTTCACCATCAAGGTTAACCGGATAAATATGCAACTTAGGTACATTTTTCTTACAATATTACATTTGGTTTACTTAGTGGTAAGGATTATTGGGCTTACTTTGTGTAACAGCTAACAACCTATAATGCAAGGCCGCGGTATCCTTTTTCCTAATTGACAAGTAAAATCAAATTTCAATTGTAACCAGTTGGAAAAAAAATATTTGAATAAAACTCTAGAGATTTTATTCTTTCATTGTACAACTACTCAACTGAGATGCACCAATCCTTCAAATAGAATTCACAACAGTAAAAAGAAAAAAGAACTATGATGCGCATAAATTTCTAATTAGACACGTCCTATAATTGAAACGAAATCTTTGACATGGTGCGTTATGGCAAGCTAAAGGATATTGTGAGCTTTCCTCTCATGTTACTGCAAAGACTGCAATATCTCATAGCTTTAACATGGTGGCCTGGAAAACTGCATGCTGCATCTCTTCCTTGGTCAACCACGAGCGCAAATAACTGTTTATTATATCCTTCTCACAATTACTGGTAGAAATCCTTTTTATTCCAAACCTGGTGATATGCTTTAGGTTCAGCTCAGAAGGGTCTTTAATATATTGCTCCAAAATACTTCTAATGGCATCACACCAAATTGGTCTAGCTATCTTCAGAAAGTCATGGGCAGCCAACACAGGAAGTGTAACACTTCCAATAGAAGATTCCATACGTCCACCTCTTCCATGATAATCTGAGCCTCCAAGCTTCAGGAGGCCATAAGCATCGGCAAGATCACTGTATACTGTTGCAGTAAAGAGAAGACAAACAGCTTGAATCCTAGGTAAGTACTACGTAAAATTTAAGTTGATAATAAATTTCTTTTCATGATACCATGATTTGTTGGTATAACCATTTCTCTCAATTGGAATATCAAATTATTGAGCTAGAGAAAGAACTGACTTGAGATTTAATGCTTTGAAAGTTAGCAGATAAAACATTAGTGGCTGCAAAGGAGAAGCATCTTTTATCAATCCCCAACTTTCTGGTTGAAACTTGAAAGGCTTTTAATTTAACATGAAAGAAACTATCCAGTGTCTCTAAGGTCCAGTCTGCTATTAGTAAGGCTACAATTGTATCTTGGAAATCGGTCAAGATCAGCTCTAAGGCCCTCTGACACTAGTACATGAATCTCAAAAACATACTAATTAAACAAAACAGGGAAATTTATCTAAAATTCTTCAAATAGGGACATGCAATTAAACAAGACTCTTAGCACAAACAGAAATGGACACAGAACAAATTAACAGTTTTCAGCAGTAAAATTTACCTCTAAATCTCCCCTACACATCATCAAAAACCGGTGAACCCAATTTTAAAATACACGTTTTGATATGAAAAGCAACAGTGGTAAATGAACTGCTTGAAGATCACCTACCTGCAAGTCTACCATCACTTCTATAAACTTCTATTCCATGCAGACCAGCCTGTTTTAAACTACGGACCACCGGAATGGGATTTTTTAATGCCCATGGATGTGCCAAAACAGCTATTCCCCCAGTTTTACAAATCATTTGCACTGCTTCTTCAGCAGCAGGCTCACTTCCCCTGCACCCAGGACAGGCAGATACTAAGTTTTGTACATCAGTTAAAAATTCATAATTAAGGAACAGTCACCATTGAGCTCATAAATTATTACTTAGAATAAGCAGGTCCACCATCATAAAGATATCTGTCAAATGCTTGCTTGAGATCCTCAACATGGCCAGCTTCCAACAAAGCACGAGCTACATGCAGTCTTCCAGGAGCAACTCCACTGCCTGCAATTCTAATGACATGTTCCCACGTAACGGGCTTTTTGAGTTTATTCAATTTTGAGAGCATATTCTTTGCACGAACATAACGTCCATCCCTTATGTTGGTCAAAAATTGATCAAACTCTTCAAATCTTGCTGGTCCACAGCTGCTATAATATGCAAGGACGTGAACTGGTTCTTCTGATTCAGAATTATCTCTGTTCATCAATTCAATTTTCCATTGTCAATGTTGCTAATCAGATATTTTTAAATGCATTCATCTTCTTATTAGCAATATATTATGTAATTAGCAGTAACGCCAGTAATAGTATACTACACTACACACGTAAAGGACGCTTAACCAAAAAATGATAAAATTTTATCCAACTAGCATTATCATTAGTTAAAAAAATGAAATACTCGTACTTGCCTTGTAGAGAAAACAGTACTGATCTCAACACCTGGAATAATCTTGATGCCAAATCTACCGGCAGCTTCCAGGGCCTCAGGGATACCAGACATTGTATCATGATCAGTCAGAGCAAGAACTTTCACCTGTTCTGAAGACATTACAGATATATAAATCACACATCTTATCAAAGCTTAAAATTTAAGACTTTTATAATCATGCTGAACCACTGAATTTGAAGAATGAGGCACCTAGCTTACTTGTATAGACAGAAAGGGAAACATAAAGAATTTAGAATCAGAATGCAAAAAATGAATCAATGCTGATGACTTGACCAACATTCAACAGAAAACAGCATTTTAGGATTCTAGTATAACAATATTGATGACTCACAGGTATTGAAAATATGTTGTGAATCAGTCTCACCGCATCTCTTACAAACCACTACATAAAAGGTTCGCCAAGCCACAGCCATAAGGATGCAATAGAATATAACTACTTGCAAGAAATTAAATGTATAGCTCAGAATCCCATATTCCATCATGGCAAGAAAACAAAACCAATGATTCTTCCAAAATAACTCTAAACACTATGGAAGTCAAGCTTCCTACTTGAAAGAAAACTAACACTCATGAATAATTGTTATTGCTTACGACTATGGAATGTGTGAGTTATATTGATTAAAAAACATTAGAGAGACCCAGCACATTAAGAAAGCACCAATTCCACATCCTTAATTTCCCTAAAATTTGACAAGTGTTTTTGTAAGAACTAATCAGGTGCAGGTAAGATAAACTTCTACAATTATGTACACCACTTGAATTGAGTGAGCGAACTATCTCATTCAAAAGACAAAAAACTACATGCACCTAAACAGCTACATTCCTTGGCTAGAGCAAAACGGTCACAAAAGAAACATTGCAAAGACGAAAAGATCAAACTTCACGAGCTGATTAATAAATAAGGCTTCAGTGACAGGAGAGAAGCATATCTACATTTTTGGATATGTATCTTTTAATATTGCCTCACCATCTCAAACTGTTATACTTCAACTATGCTTTGTAACCACTAAATTTAGAAATTTCTACCAATTATTAGGGACTTAAGAATTAAAGAAAATCTATATTCAATTGCACGGTTAGATATCTAATAGTTAGTCAACCTATCAAAGTACTCTTCCTGTTTCTTTATCATGAATTCATGATATTCCTCTTTTTCTCTCTTGGGTTTAACAGTTAATTTAAATGCCTAATATTAACCAAATGCAATATATATTATGATCCAAATTTCCAATACACAACAAAATTCTAATGTCACCATCAAACAAACCCATCACAAAAACTAAATCAAGCAGTACAAAATCAATATTAAACTATTGTAAAGAACAGAAATAAATAAAAAAAAACCCAACAATAAAATGAAATAAATTTCTTGAAATTTGGGGAAGAAAACTGACCCCATGTTGATGAGCTTTCTCAACAAGAGCAGAAGGGGATAAAAACCCATCACTACAAATCGAATGAGAATGCAAATCAAACACAACTTTCTCACAAACTTGAGCTCTTCGCATAATTTCTGGTAGAAATTCATCCTCATTTTCTCTCTCTTCATCTTTAACAGCTTTATTAGAGTGTTGCGCCAACAAAACCCATTCATTAACAGATTTTAAGGCTAAGGTTTGTTCAGCAGTCATTCTTCTCTTAGCACCCCCTCTTTTCTTCTTCTTGTTAACTTCTCCCATGATTCGAAGTGGGTGTTTCTGGGATTTCTGGGTTTGGGTTTGTGGAAGAATGGATTTATGAAAACTCTGGTTTAAGCGGCCTTAAAAGGTCAAAATAGGTTTTATCTGATTTTGAATTAATTGAGCAGATAGGAAAGTGAAAGTTCCTACTTCCTAGAATTGTTTGTGGTAAATTCGGTCCACACATTACACATATAAGTATTTTGCAAAGTACTTGTAAAAAGCACAATAATTTTTTTTTGGAAAGATAGTAAGTACCTTAGCCATAAGTAATGGTATTATCTTGTTTAAAAAAAGTACCGGTAATAAGATTTAGATTGACTAATTTATAAGATTAAATCTCACTTAATATAGCAAAAAACCTACAAAATACGAGTATGACATTTGAACATCATATATGAATAAGAAAGATGATGAGCCTAGAATTACCGAAATTGGAATTTCGTTTCCTCTTTGAACTTTCGGAATTTCCAATCCTTTGGCCTCCACCCAAAAATTTTACAAGATTTCAACACCGGCGATTATCTTGCCCTCGGCTGGTGGTGGTTTGTTGGGAGGAAAGTGTTTGATTGAGTTAGAGGAGTGAAAATATAGAACACATGTAAGGGTATGTTAATCATTCAAATTTAAACTACAGACATTACCTCTTAAAATGCAGGCATCGTTTAAATATTTAATAACCCTTGCTTCATACTTATTTTTTGTAGGTTAACTTGTTACTGGTTCAGTTTTTGCCCTCTCACCGTTCATTCTAAAGAGCGGTTGATAGTTAATCGGTTGATCCACATTAACCTATTTACTCACCAAACACGACTTAACTCATTTTTATTTTTTTATTATTTTTTTGTGTTCCACTCGATTCACCCTTTGGGCTAATCCAAATTCGAGGTTTAGTTTTGGGTGATTAGGTTTCCATTCCCTCCCAATTATTATTGCGATAGATCAAACACACGATCCTCCCTACCAAATGCAACCCCAATCACTACTGCACCAAACATCCAACTGGTGACTTAACTCATTTGTCACCTCTACTTTGCCGTCACTCCGTAGTTGTGTATTGTTGTACTCTACAATTTGGGTCCACCGACCTCTTATTAGGAAATCAGGTGGGGGTGGAGAGAGACGGATATTAGCGCGAGAGAGGCAGAGAAAGCGAGAGAAAAAGCCTAACAACAGGGCATTGAAGTTGATAAGGCTGGGGTTTTAGCTAAAGCCCTTATCTTTCCTCTTTCTCTTTTGACGCCTTCTCTCTCCTTTCGCCCTTCAACACCAATATACTCTGTAAGTTTCTCTTTCTTATTTTTTCCATTGTTTCTGGGTTTTTTTTAGGGTTTTTCAAAACCCTTTGATGAATGCCCACGTAATTTTAATGTTTAAATACTTAATATGAGATTTAATTGTTTCAATTTTGAAATTTTTTGATGGGTTTGAGTGAATTTTAAGTGGGCAGTATAATTGATTTGGCCTCTCTTCAAATTAGGGTTTTTTTCGACTGTAGTTTTAAAATTTTGATTTTTAGGGTGGACAATGGATTGCATTATCATCTACTAGTAGAATTTTTGTGTGTGTATGTGTGTGTGTTTTTTTTTTCCCTAATTGAATTTGGTTCATTGAAAGATATTTCGAATTTTAGCCATTTTTTTCGGTGAATTGAGCAGGTGAAAGATTAGGATGGCTGGCCAATTAGTTCGTGAATGGAGTGGAATTCAGCAGTTTCCGCTCGCAACTCAAACTAAGTTGCTCGAATATTTGGGAACATTGAAGCAAGAGGTTTGTCTCATTTTTTGCATTAAAGCTGTTTTGTTCATGTGATATTGTTTTGGGGGTTTATTCAGTGAATTCTGATTAGCATGTTTGTTGTAATGGTTTGATTGTAGAATGTGGATTCACTAACCATCCTTGTTATGGGAAAAGGCGGTGTTGGGAAATCGTCTACTGTAAACTCGGTCATTGGTGAACGAGTAGTTGCTGTCAGTGCTTTTCAGGTATGGTTTCATTGCCTTGGTTGCTATAAATGGCATATTGTTATTGTACTGTTTTTCTGTAATACCTGTTCATTTCATGATATAGTAAACTTGCATAGTTACTCATTGTCTAAGTCATGGTTTCCCATATACTTAAAAACTTTTGAAGGTATATAATGGAATTAATATGCTAATTATTTCCTTCTGTTAGCACTCAAGTTCACAACCCTTTGAGGGAACCTATGAAGGTAGAAACCACCAAATGGAAAATATAATGGTCAAATTAAATTCATAGTTGGAGGGTTTTTTTGCTTTAGTTCGATGGTTCAAGCCTCCTCAGTTTCCTTGAAAATTATCAGTTCCATCTGATCCTATGTGGTACTGAAGGTTTGGCGCCTCAAGAATAAATTATATATAGGGTGAAAAGATTTCATGGGAGAGATGCTCGGTGGGTGATCCAAAATCGAAGCATAGAGTTACCTTGGACTTTAGATTGATTGATGGATTACATAGTTGGTTAAGTTATTGGCGTTACGGCACATTTACATTTTTTCCTTTGACCAAGGTACACAATATGTAGTATTTTTATTATTAACATTGACTTGGAAGGGACACAAGCGCACAACCAATATTTTGCTCTTTTCTTTTGTAGCTGAGGCGGTTGTTATCTTTTCCTTTGTGAATTTTTTAACTCTTTGTTGATTGATTGTCAGTCTGAAGCATCAAGGCCTGTGATGATATCTCGTTCAAGAGCAGGATTTACATTGAACATTGTTGACACACCAGGTCTAGTTGAAGGTGGATATGTGAATGACCGTGCTATTGATATGATTAAAAGGTTTGTGCTGAATGATACTTGTCATATTGTTATTTTGGATTCGTAGTAACTCTCTGTAGTCAGTGATGATGCATGCTTATAGTCCATGAGAAGTGTGCTCTCAAAAGTATCCTCTCTATTTGATTGGTTTTTTGGTTTTTTTTTTTTTTTTTGTTTTGTTTTTTTTTTTTTTTGCTGGTTGGTACTCATTTTGCCTTCCAGGAAAATGTTCTTGTGCAGAACTTAAATGCTTTTACATATATATTTCTGGAGCTATTTACAGTTAACTAGCTGTCTGTTAATTTTTGTAAGCATACGCTGTCATAAATGCCAGCAAACTTCAGCTGCAATAACCTTGCTATGCTGTATAATTATTATGGATTTGTTTCATTCCCCACTTGAGCATTTGTGGTACATGAGCACCTGAATAGATATATTTGTTTGGGTATCAGGGCTGGATAGATTATTTTTTTGGCAATCCGACTTTCTCAGTGTAGAATACATCCTTGGGTATCAATTTAGAGTGATCATTACTTTTTAATATATGATGTTTACCATATGAATATATTGTCGGCGTTGTCGTGATCATTTAATTGTTCTTCCTCTTATTTTGCCTTCCCTTGTCGTCCTTGTCTTATCTCTAACTCTCCTATTGATCCGGTTGGAGCAGCTTCCTTTTGGATAAAACCATCGATGTATTGCTGTATGTGGACCGCTTAGATGCCTACAGAGTGGATACATTGGACAGGCAAATTATCAAAGCTATTACAGATAGTTTTGGAAAAGAAATTTGGAACCGTGCTGCTATTGTCCTTACTCATGCCCTGCTTTCACCCCCAGATGGGCTGAGTTATGAAGACTTCTTCAGTAAAAGGTCTGAGGCTCTTCTAAAAGTTGTCCGCCTTGGGGGGCGAATAAAGAAGCAGGACCTTGTATGGCATCTTCATCTTTTTGCCTTTTTTTATCCATAATTTTTGCATTTTTGAATTTGTCGGACGGTTCCTTAGGACGATTCATGTTAGCTAACCCCATATCCATTTGGGACTAAGGCTTTATTGTTGTTGTTGTACTTCTGTTTGCATTGCGTGTCTCTTGCATTTCATGTTAGTCAGTGTATGTTATTATAATGTTGTTTAATGGTATTGTATACCTGGTTGCTGTTTCATTACCCCATTGTTAACTCTGGGAGGGTAGAAGTGCTTGCGGGAAATAACATGATTGATTGGTTGTCCACCGTGTCCATCCGAGTTTTAGTTGCCACCACATGTACCGTGATTAGCTTTCTTGGAATCTGTTGTAAATATAGAAAAAAAAAAAAAGCATCTATTGTGTTATAATAACTCCTTGGAAAGGCTAGTAAATGCATTTCTAATTTTTTGGTTTATTTGTCAAAGGTTCTACTTACTAAGTTGAGTACTGCTTAATCGCATGGCATGTTCTTTGCTGAAAGTCTGAAACTGTCTACAACATTTGGGTTACGGAGAAATTAGAAAGTATTCAATGATAATTATAGAATTTGTAATTCTTTGTTTAAACGTATAGTCAATAACACAGTCTTGCCAAAGAATTGCAAGATTGTGCTCTTGGCATAAGCTATTAGTTAATGTCTGGGATTTATTTTGGTTCTCTTGTTTTAGAATGATCTTGCTTATATACATCCTTTACTTGTGTTTCTACTTCATACAAGGACCATTGCCCATATGGTTACATAGGTATAAAACTATATGTCAAGCAATTTTTGAACCTTAACACATAAAATAAACCAATTTATCTCTGGAATTCTATTTCCTTCATATTGGACGTGTTGAGTTGTGTTTACCTTATCCTTAACATTTTGTTCTTTTTGTTTAATTTTCTCCTAGGCATTCTCCATGCCTGTAATTTTGGTTGAGAACAGTGGGCGATGCAATAAAAATGAAAGTGGTGAAAAGGTCAGTTGCTTACCTATTTTGTCCTGTTACCATTCTTAGAATTTGCTATCAGCTTCTTCTAGTACTTTTACAACTTGGCATAAGTTCACTGGTAATTGCTGCCATCATTATAGGTTCTTCCAAACGGAATTTCATGGATACCAAATTTGGTGAAAACTATCATAGATGTTGTTTCAAATGGAAGTAAGGGTATCTTGGTTGACAAGAAGTTGATTGAGGGACCTAACCCAAATGAACAACACAAATGGTGGATACCCTTGATTGCAGCAGCTCAAGTAAGTTTCTAAATCTACAAGATTAGCTAACATATATGTGGCTCTGTTATTGTAGTGTTTTGACATAATTGCTTTCAGGAAATTTTTTTAACTGAGTTACCTCGCAAAATGAATCATGCAAAACTTGGAAAAAAATAATAAAACATGCAAATTTTGCTGGCTGTGGAAGGCAAAAGTAATGCTTGTAGTGTAGAGGAAGTACATTTTGTAGCCTTATTTCCATCTTCTTGAATCTTGATACCTGAATTTAGTTTCTTTCCCTTTCACTCGAAGTCTATCACATGTCAAAGCCTTTAGGTCGGTTTTTGTTGTTGTTTTGGGGAGGGGGGTTGTGACTTGTGAGGTGGGGGGTCAAAAACTATCCCGTCTTATAAAAATAACTCATATTCTGGATAGTCTCCACTGGAATTGCTAGCCACTACAGAAATTTTTTACTGTATACTCATTCTGATAATTTCAGCAGCGTCTCAACAATGTGATGGTTTGTTATCAGAATGAGTATACAGAGTATTTTGCCTCTTGGCAACTTTCCTACCCTATAAGGCAGTTCATTAATTTGCTGAAATTGAAGAGTTCCTGAGACAGAAAATTTATGTTGTGATTTGACCCCCCCCCCTTTTTTTTTGCTGCAGTATCTTTTGGTACAGAAGATTCGTGGTTTGATCAAAGATGATATCGCCAAGGAAAGTAAACCTGCATGGGAACTCCGAGATATTGGTGCAGCCAAGCGCAAGTTCTAATGGCCTCTCATTTTGCTTCTCTCTCTTCCCTCTGACAGCATCTCAACTGTGTTTCTCATCACTTCTATAGAGGTTGTTAGAGTCAGCTTAGTGGTAACCTTCGGCAACTTGAGCGATTTTGAGTATCTAAGAGTGCTGGCTCTTTTATCCATCTATTTATTGTTTTTTTTAGTATTTGGGCAATGAATCACGCTATATTATTATTTTTATTTCAATCTGGTTTGATAGAACTACTACCATTGTATCTAATGAAGTACTGAATAATTTTCACTTAATGAGGAATCTGGTTTTGTAAAAAAATTTGCAATATTGCAGTATTGCCGTAACATTGGTTATCTCTGTTTTTGTGGTTGGATCTTGGATGTGTTATAAATAGGGGGAAAAAAAAGGTATCGTATTACAGACTTCCCTAATTTACAAAACATTACATTTAAGTTCGCACATAATTAAATTCGTGTATAAGGCAAACCTAAATGATTGGAGCTTTGGAGGTCTTTAGTTCATATATTACTCCGTAGTAAATACTCTGTTAATATAAACCATTTCAAACTATTATTTGGTACACAAAGTATCCAAGTTGGGAAAATAAATCAAACAATTGAAATTGAAGGACGTTATTAATGAAAATATATGATTAGAAAGAGAATTAGAGGGACGAGTTAGGGCCATTGCTTTCTTGAACACCATGGACCAAACATGATAGGTAATTGAGTAATTGCGTCAAAAGGCAGTACTTTTGATCCTCAATAAGGTGGGTAGAGTTGTGTCATAATGTCTTTCTCAACCAACATTAGCAATGCTAGTAAATTAACTACTAGTCCCTCACTCGGATTATATGGTTGGTTTTAGTAGAATTTATTATAGTTAAATTGGATGCACTCATTTATTTGATTATAAGTATCACATATTGAGATATACTCCGTATAATATAGTCGTAACTATATGAAACAAGTTTCGGTCATTAGCAGCTTAGTCGTAAAGATTGGACGAGTCTAAATGTGACAAAGAAATATGGACAAAAAGAGATTAGGTTGAGTCACTTGAGTGGCTATCCATTTCATCCTTGGAAGACTCTACACAGTGCTTATGCCTTTTGGCTATGTGAATCAGATTCATTGATGATTGTCATTTTCTTTTTTTAAGTGGAGTATCCTTCTTGTTATTGTCAATTTTATCTAGTATACTGCTTACATTCGTTATATTCTACAAAAAAAAAAAAAAAAAAAAAAAAACTTATCCAATTAACATCCTAGGAAACCTTTTTTTCTAAAGCATTATGTCTTTATAGTAAGTCTTGTCAATCCATCCAAGTAATCTCAAAGATCATATGTCTATTATGTTGTTTCATGTACTACCTCTGTTTCTTATTATTTGCAACGATTTGACATAAAGTTGTGAGTAAAAAATGTCTAATCGTTGCAAATAATATGAAACAGAGGTAGTATAAAAAAATAATGTAACTATCATATTAGGTCATACAGCTGCAATAGCATAATCATTGTGAAATGGTCATTGATTTGTATTTGTTTGGAGGACTTTCCTACAAAATGACTTTGTTCAATCTTATCTCATTCTCATATACGAGTACTTCACAATGGAAATGTAAACCTTCACAACTCCATGGGATCTCCAAGTCAAGGTTTCGAGTTTGGAAAAATGTATCACACTCACCCAATCGTCCACACCTCACATTTTATGTAGCTTATTGTCACGGAATGAGCTCAGATTGCTAGTGCGGCGCCTGAATCCCCGGCTTGATCCAGGCCAACCTTCTCCATATGCGCAACAAGCTAATAAGTAGAGGAAAGCACACGCGATGACACTAACTTGCACCACAAATACATGCATCAATAAGGCACACAGACAAAGAAGGGTTGTTTCGTATGGGACTTGCTGGGCCAGTGCATCAGGAAAACTGTCAGCACGTGACATTATGCTTAATAAAACTTATCTAAGTGTTATTTTATGTCAATGATTAATGCTTGAACTAGTAACATTTATACTTCATGTCAGACAAATTTAAATCAACTGTTCAATCACTAGAAAATATTCACAAGCCAATCAAATTGATCTTATTCGACCCTCACCCAATATGAAGTATCCATTTAACAATTATCAAAGATACTCCTCGACCAACTACAAACAATCACAATCTAATCAAATTGACCCAATTCGACCCATACCCAATCTAATAATCCATTTAACAAATCCAAAAGATAATGACCAACAAAAGTTCAAAACAATGAGATCACACCATTGTCAACCCTAAAACATAGAATCTCCACCATAAAATTAGGTGGTAGTCTAAATTACCCCTTTTGAAATTCCACATCCACGTGTCTCATCCTCGAGCACTTTCGTGTCAAAACACTTCTCTTTCTCTCTCTTCCCCTGTTCAGCGTTTCACAATCAAATCACCCACATTCATAGTATTATAAAAGCAGGTCGTAAGTAAGAGCACGAGGATTAGCTGAGAGTTTCGCCAAATAAAACAAATCACAAGTTACACACTCTAAAGTTATCTTTTCATTAAAAAAGTTAGCAAATTGGGCAATTAATATTAATTGACCAAAAATTAAAAACTAAATTCTGGGATTTCTTAAAAAATTTGTGGGTGTGAATTAATTTTTATAAAGAAAAAAAATTGATCAACCAATGGAAGGAAAGAAAAAGGTGTTGGAAGGAGGACAGGTAATGGACGGTTCAGATATAATGGAGTTGGTTGAAAATAAGGAGGTGTTCAGTAAATATGTGGATCACAAGTTCAAAGAACTTGATGTTGACAAGGATGGTAAGTTATCTGTGAAAGAACTTCAACCTGCTGTTGCTGATATTGGTGTTGCTCTTGGTCTTCCTCCTAAAGGCTCTTCTTCTGACTCTGATCACATCTATTCCGAGGTCAGTTTGTCTTTTCTACCTTTCGAGTACATGTTAATATGTTATTGATAGAGTATATAAATGGATCCTGCACTTTAATCATCATTATGTTAATCCGGTAACTTTTTACGTACTTTGCTTGACTTTTCTATGTAACTAATACTTAGTCTAGCCTGTTTATGTGTGTGTTACTAATGTTATGATCGTGTAAGTTACAAAGGATAGTTTTATAATTGTCGTTATTAGGTGTACGTCTAGTGTCTAATTTGTACCTGTGTTGTGTTATTATCCGTTTTCATTCAACAAAGGTTATATGGAGAATCTAATACGAGTACCAGAGAAGTGAACAATTAGGAAATTACCCAAATGGGTGTGAATGAGTGATACTCATTCTGGCCACAAATAATCTACGTGTATCATATCGGGTGTATTCCTTACAGGATGTCGATAAAGAAATCTTCTAAGTTATTGATATGTTATTTGTGGACGGAGGGAGTATGTTATTGGTATAGTTGGGTTATGTTAGCAATTCTAGGGTTATTGGCTTCTAGGGACTAAGGGAGTGGAATGGTAAAAAACGTGGGATATTATTTCACTGGTGAATTAGATAAGATTAAGATTGTCTATTGTACAATTGAAGCTCACACATTCTTCAACGTGGACAAATTTTTTGGTCTGTAGTGTAGTAAAACTAGTGGTTTTGAAGAATTGAAAAAGAGGGGCCATAAGTTTTCGTTTTTATTGCTTGGTATGTGAAAAGATCCAATTTTGAATAGTTTTGGTAGTTTAATTAGTTAACTTCTTGATAAGATTCTGAAAACTGGTTGAAAAAAAATCTGTTTGAGCTTTGAGTTCTTTTTTAGATAATTAGATGCTAAAGTCTTTAAGAGGTTCTAAACCTATATTTCAATTTTTGTGCATCTTCGTGGACCCAATAGGAAAAGTAATTTGAAGGATGAATTGTCTAGAAATTGTACTAGAGATTTGGATTTGGAAATGGGCTAACAAAATCAATTGTCGGTGCCTTTTTAGCTAACAAAGTTTGAAAGCCATATGACCGATTTTGCATGTTCTCATGAATCCAAAATGGAAACAGACGAGGGTCTGCACGGTGGGCAGGACCCTGTAGGGTGTCTACGGTCCGTGTTTATCATGGTTTTCATTACATTGCCTGTTTTAGAGAGGTTTTAAGAATATTGCGAAGTACATTGTCGTAGAATGTAGGTATTTTACTATTGTGTCATTGATTTGTATACTTCTAAGACTTTTATCTATGTGTTTCTACTAAGAAGTTATACTTCTTTGATGGTAGCTGGTTTGACATATCTGGAGGCATAGTTGTTACTTAGTTCATCAAGGAAAACCGTATTTAATAATGGCTCCAACGAGATCATTCTACCAAGTACTGAACTTTGACATTAGGAAAATCATTTTAAGAATGGCTTTAGCTGGATCTTTCTACCAATTACCAACTTTAACATTAGTAGATGTTTGCAAATTGGTCCTACATGTCATATTGTCACTCATAGTTAATTCATAGCACTTATTATAGATTCTGACTTTATGGTTACTCATTAGGATGAAGTTACATGTTCTAAAAACTAAAGTAAAAATTAAAAGTATAAGTTAAGTTCTTGAAATAATTCTCAAGGAGCTATAAACCTTATGCCGAAAGGGGGATAGTATTATTGTGACTGATGAGGTTTGTTGACTTAAGTTGTTGATAGAAAGGGATGAAGTTGATGAGCGGAAAAGTATAAAATTGATGTTTTTTTTTTCTTTGACAGCATTTGCTTAATTGTTAAATCAAGGTCTGCATAATTGTTTAAACCTTAGCTTTTGTAGATTGATAGTTGCTTAATACATATTAAATGGCAAAAAAGACAGAAAAGTGACCGGCCTTAATATCCTGCTTTTTCTTTTGATATTTTGGAGTCTCTTTCTGAAAGTAACTGCTATATTTTCTAAAGAAATTACCACAAATACAGTACTAATTTTCTGTGGTTTTGAATAAATCGGAAATTGATGATCCTTGTTTGAACTTTGAAGCTTAATTTCTTACTAGTATAGTTCTTGTTACTTGGTATGTCAGCTTCTAATTTATGCTTCAAGAAGCATGATTCTGCTACTTGATTGATTCAAAAAATTTAATGCAGAAGATCGCAAATCATAGTTACTTAGCTTCCTCTAGAAATATCGTAGGCTCCTACTCAACATGTCATGGACATTTCTCTAGCCAGCTAGACCTTTCTTTTAATAGAAGAAGTCTCTAGTAAACTTGATGCTCTGAAGAATCTTATGTTTGTTTATGCAGAAAATTATAGACTAAGTAGTTAGATAACCGCGAATAGTGGCAGACCATCCTACCAAATGATCCCTATAGTGACCTAATTTATTTTTAATGAGTTCAATATAATATCCTGCAGACCAGCCAAAAAGTGGGCCGCCGGAAGCTTTTTTATGTAGATAGGAAAAAGAGCATTTTTAATATCATACCCACATCACCTTTTCAGCACTAAGTTTCCCAGAATTTGGGATTGTGGGAATAGGGAAGGAAAAGTTTGAAGGGGTTTGGCTCTACCTTTTGTAGGTAATAAGGTAAATCATAAGCTGTACAAGAAACCCAACTTGATCCTGTCCCTAATAGTTACTGAAATTTCCCAAGTTGATTATTTCTAACTTATAATGTATGATCTATCATAGTAAATTGATTTACAAGAGACCTAAATAGGATCGGTCTCTCAATCTGTCATGACCGAATTGTATACCTCATCACCCAAATATGACTAGATCCAAACAACCGATTTGACACCTCTATTATGTGATTAGAAGAGTGGTCCTGTGTTTATCATAGTTATTTTAGGCAACTTGCAAGTGCTTATGTAATGATTAAGACTTCTAGCAAATTGAGCATGAGGCATTCGCAACTATCCTGCTTTGGCCGAAAGTGCTCTTTGGAGTGGGGACCTCCAAGAGAGTTGGTAGTCAATTATAACTGGTTGAAGAGGCAAGCTAACCTTTTCGATCACAATTTTTATGAGGTTCTTAATTAACCTCTTAGTGTAGGCAATAAATTTGGACAAAGGACCACAATTTAGGAAAATATATTAAGATAAGTACACCTAAAGTTATGGAGTATACCAATAGGATGGTTTGGTCGGTTTGTGAAATGTCTCTATCTGCCAATTGAAACTGCGGATCATATAGAGTTCCAAATAAATGCAGTTCTGTGAGCTGTTTGGGTTAAAAGAGGTCAACGATTAACATATTAGTTGTGAGATTCACGTTTTTAAAAGGATGGTGAAAGGTGATATTAAGGTAAAAATCATCTGATAGTTCAAAAATTTAAATAATGAGGAATTTATTAACCATGTAATCCATGACTTTACTTGTTTGATGGCAAAGAGGGCGGCTTGTATTGAGTGTTTGGGGAACTAAAACATACAAATAGCACTAGATACAGATAATGATGCTGTAATAATTTATTCATTTCTGGTGGCTATTATAGGTTCTGAATGAATTCACTCATGGTAAAGAGGAGAAAGTAAGCAAGAGCGAGTTTAAAGAAGTTCTCTCAGACATCCTTATAGGCATGGCTGCTGGATTAAAACGGGACCCCATTGTCATCCTCCGCATTGATGGTGAAGAACTTCATGAATATATAAGTAGTCCTGCTTTTGAGACGGATATGGTGTTAATTTTTTCTGAGATTGCTACTCCAAATGCAACTATGTGTGATCACATTGTCAAAGCTCTGCAAAAGCTTGGTGTTGATCAGGGGTTGCCCCCAATTTCAGATTCTTGGGTAATATACTATTTTCCCTTACTCCTCATCTTATTAGTTATTTCAAGTGCATCATTGACTATACTCTTAGGGTCATGTGCGATTTTGTAGGTTATGAGCAATATTGTGGAACCAGCTTTGGAGTTGTGTACTCAGGACTGTAGTAATGATCAGCAACTGATATCATCTCAGGAGATTTTCCTGGAGGAACTCAAGAAAGTACTCGAAAATATAGTTGAGTGTCTTAGAGAGCAACCTGTGATTGTTGCACACACTGAGAACACCTATGATGGAAGTGCCATCAAGACTCTTTTAGCTAATAAGTTTGAAATAGACAAGGTAAATCCGTCATCCTGTGACTTATCACACATATGACATATCAAACCTCATAATTGTCGTAACTGACTAGATGACAATTCTTACAACATTACTCGGACTCTTGTGACTTATTACACACATCAAACCTCATACATTTGTTGGATCCTTGACACTGCCACGAACCTGTCAAATATTTGTTCCCTGGTCCATGTAACATAGTTAGAAATCTTAGAATCATTGGGAGAAACTAATGTTATTGTTTGTGGATGATATATATAGGTACTGAATGCTGTGCTGGAAGCTATACCTAGAGATAAGAATGGAAGATTGTCTAAGGAGTATCTTCACTTGGCATTAGATTCATTGGCCCCATCTGCTGATTTGCCTCCATATGGTGCTATTGCTGAGGTATATCTAAGCTCTTTAGACTCTTAATACTAAAGCGTAGACAAAATTGTTATGGAAGCTGTCTATCTGTCTTTCATTATGTTTAAGTAATGCTTTACTATTAGTCACAGCTGACATAGTTAAAAATACTATGAACAGATGGACAAGGTTACTGATGAAGTGTTTAAGATGGTAGATGCTGACGACGGGAAACTCGTAAAAGAAGAGGAGTTCAAGAAGCTCTTGCTGGAGATCTTAGGGAGTATGATGTTACAATTAGAAGGTAACCCTGTATCGGTTTCAACTAACTCGGTTGTTCATGAGCCCCTTGCCGATCCTACTTCATTTTTGCAGATGGCCTCATAATCTTATCTCACATCACTGATATTGCATATAAAAAATAAATGAAAGCTTATATCCTAATGTGTCTTGAACACTTATGTATTGGAAGCAATTTCAGTTCATGTTGTTAGTATATCTTGTGTTGTTTGGCTTCCTATATATGTTTTGTATTTCCATGTAGCTATTGTAATACAGTAATGTATCCCTGGTACTGGGAAGGGTCACTTTGCATAGTGTTATCTGCTTGAGAAATGTTGATCAATCCATTTGTTACGCCTCGTAAACGCCAATGTCCTTGAGGATCATGACTGTATATGCCAATGTCCATGAGGACCATGACTGTATATGCCAATGTCCATGAGGACCATGACAGTGTAAAACTGTAAAATGGTAGGTAATCCTTCATTTACTACCTTTTTTATGCAAAGAAATTTCTTCATTTTGTAAAATGCTATTAGCTTATGTTGAATAGTTATATGGAGAGCTTATAAGATGTACATTATAGGGAACATATGAGGTCAAATGATGTAGCGACAATCCTACAATTGCTATGTTATTTTCATTCTTATATGGTTTATACATCATTTGAAAGTATGTGCTCTCGGATACATGTAATAAAATATAATCTTCATGTTGATATAGTTATATGGAGAGCTTATTATATGTACATTATAGGGAACATATGAGGTCAAATGATGTAGCGACAATCCTACAATTGCATATGTTATTTCATTCTTAAATTGTTTATACATCATTTGAAAGTACGTGCTCTCAGATACATGTAATGAAATTTAATCTTATAAGATAATAATTTTCAAATCATCATATTACAAATCTTGTTTTAAAAACAAACATTACAAAACTGTTTGCTTTCTCATTATATAATTTATTTATCAACAACATCATAATATTTAATACAAACTTGCATATGCCTAATACAATATATTCCAAATACAAATATTAGGCTTATTCTTTAGCTATCCTTGCTTTGAAATGCTCAAGTGGAAGAACCATACTATAAAGATAAAATGCAACGCTAGCTAGTATAGGCCCAACCCAAAAGACCCAATGATCATTCCAAAGATGCCCCCCTCTCACAACTGCAGGCCCAATACATCTTGCTGGGTTGATAATTGCTCCAGTGTAGCCCTTTTTGGTTGTCACTGTGGTGGACAGATACATAGTCAGCCCAACCACGATACCGGTGATCGAGCACATCACAAGTTGGCCCAAGGCCTTTGACCGCTGTTGGTCAAAGGTCATCCACACCGAGAATAGGAAAATGAAAGTGTAGATAATCTCGGCCCATAGGCCTTGTGCTGTCTCGATCCCAATTGTGGTGAGGCCTTCTGGGCCGGGGGTGGCCACCGCGAGTGTACACCCCCCTAACAAGTAGCTACTTGTTATTGAACCTTTAACCATTGCCTGAAGTGCCCATGCGCCGAGTATAGACCCTATACATTGGGCTATAAGATATATCATGGCTCGCGATAAGGATATGAGGCCCATAAAGGCCGCGGAGATGGTGATCGTTGGGTTGCTATGGCCACCCGAAATGGGGTGTGTAGCAAGGCGAAGAAATGCTACAATGAGAGCAACAAAACAAGCAAATACAATGTTTGGTGTTTCATGACTAATCTTAGAGGATATGAAAATGGTATCTAACATGAATACTAAAATGGCTGTGCTTAGGAGTTCTGCCACGGATGCTCTCCATACCTGAAATTGGTCACACTTTATAGTTATTATTAGCATTAAACCATTAATATAAATGCTTTATAACAAAGTACCAAAAACAATTAGATTCAAGCTTCATTTGATACATGTGACAACCATTACGAGTATTCGATTTATGATCAAGCGGGTGAGGGTGGAACTTTAAACCCTTAAATTAGAAGCCATGTTTGTACTTTTGAATTCCAAATTATGCGATCTTTGAAAAGGATTTCATAATAGAAGTTTTTCTTTAACTTGATTTCACATTATGTAGGAACACAATTTTCTTTTTTAATTTATTTATTATTTTATTTTTAACAAAACCAATTCGCACATTATAACCTTTTTTTTTTTGTGTGTGTTTAGAGAGCTAAGGGCGGGGGTGATGAGAACCGATCGCAAAATCTCCTGAAATTGGGAAGGAAACTCTAATCACTTGAGCTATCCCCCACTCTCAAAAAGGGTGAGAATACCTGTGATGAGAAAATTTCTTCGTAGCCTATCCAGTGAAGGAATTTCGCAGTCCTCCCAACTCTTTTCTCTACTATAGTTTCCTCCTTTTTGTACCTAAAAAAATGTTGTATTAATATTAATGACGCAAATTCAAAGTATAAGGTATCAAATGATTACCCCGCGCGCGCGCGCACACACAAAAAAAAAAAAAAAAAAAAAAAAAAAAAAAAAAAAAGTAAATTACCAGGGAGTTGAAGGCTTTGAAGGGGGAGTGGCTGAAACTGGAAGAATTCTAGTATTTGTTGCTCCATCAAATTTATTAATTTGATTTTCATTATCTCTATCAACAACAATACTATCAACCATTATTGGAGCAACCAAATAAATATAAAATACTTCTATGCTATGCTCTTTTTTATGTAGAAGATTTGTTCAATGGTGCTGTTACTACAAGTCTACAATTATTTGTTACATTTTGACTTGTATATATAGGGCTTCCTATACCCCACTTTACTAATTATAAAGATATTAATATTATTCTCTTGTATGATATTTTTTTTCTTCTTAATTTAAGAAGGTGAAAATGATAGAGATAAATTAATAAAAAAAAATGCATGTTTATAATAGTTATAATTAATAAAAATAACTTTTTATGGTATAAATAGTGTACTCCACTTTTTTTTTTTGTTTACAAATAATGTACTTCACATAAGTAAGAGATTTTTTTTATTTTTTTTTGAAGGAAGTGTACATAATTAAGACATTAGTCCCTTCACTAATAATTAATGTTGTTCACTTAAACTTTTTTTTTTGGTAGATAAGATAATTGTTATATTATTTTGAAACTTTTACATGCCAACCAAATAACCAACCCAAATTAACGGATTATTGTATAATTGTATTATACCTTGGAACTTATAACAATGAGATATTTTCAGTATTTATAAGAATAAGTTTTAAACAGTTCATATTTACCACGTAATTTTAAAGTACACTTATAAATGGTGAGAATAACACGATGTATAAGGCATCTTTAATTGTCCCTTTTCAAGTCTATATATGGATATAATGGGTTACGTAAACCATATATCAGTGCTTCAGTTCACAATTGGATTTTCAAGACTATGACTAGCTAAGAAGATCTCAAATTAATGTTATTAGACATTGCCCTTGGGCACTGGTTAATGAATCATTTAATGAGATATTTGGTGTGTTGTACATATATGATACTTCCATATCATGATACGTAGTATAAGATATTATTTACTTATATAAATTAAAGTAACTATTATCAGTACGACGTAAGTATTAAGAAACATCAATTGTCAATGTGTAACCTCAAATTTGCGGGTGTTTTAAAAAAATTTATGTATTATGAAATGGCTAGAAAGAGTAATAATTATACAAAAAAACTTATGTAATTTTCATGTTGTGTTTACTTTTTGTCATTTGAATCATGCATTTTTTTTTTTTTTGAGTAAGAACTAGATTAGACCCGTGCGATGCACATGTTACAAAAATTATTGAAATAAAATAGCTTATTTCTATTATTTATTTTCCCATATATACTTATAAATTAGATCATAAAAGATATCTAGCTATCATCATAAATTCCATGAGTAACAAAATATAAAATAAAAGTCAATCTGATCTAATCAAACCATATGCATACCAATTTATAATACTCCATATCTAAGAGTTCAAAAAACAAAAAAAAAATTACTTGTAATTTAAAGATCCTAATTTAAATAAATAGAAGCACCTTGGAAATACAAAACAATGCTAACATCTATTTCATAGCATCCTTAAAAAAAATAAATTAATAATAACATTAAAACCTAAAAAAAAGACTTTGTAGTTACCTAAAAAGTTTAAGCTTGATATCAATTTATTTATTCCAACAAAAAAAAATATTTATTTATTTATTTATTGACAAAGATTGAAATGAAAATGATTAAAAATAACCAATTTCTCAAAAAAAAAAAAAAACAAAAATATATATGACATTATAAGTGCATTTGGCAGGAAATTCTTTTATGAAAAAGTGACACATATACAGTTTGGGAGAGAGGATGATGTCAGCAGTTTTTTGTTTTAGTAATAGTTAATAGATAAAGACCTTATAAATAACACATTTCACAAATTAGTCGGCCCAAACCACTTGAGAGTAATCGGAGAAGACATATTTATCAAATGATATCTCTAATTAATTAATTAATCTACACACTACGTAGATGAATTTTTTTTTCTATATTCATTCTTTCATTGTTGTCCATGCATGAACAAAATAGGATACTATTACTTGACATCTTTTCACGTCTTAAAACGAATCAAAAAGAAGACTTAATTGGTCAAGTAGTAATTCATTTTCAAAAGTGGGGTAATATATAGATCGAACATTTCCCTGCTACAAAACTTAAGGCTATACACCAACAATATTTTGGCCAACAAAAATAATGCAATAAATAGATGTCCTCTCACAAATCTCTTTCCTCTATCCAATTATTAATTGTACAAATTCCATGCACGAAGGGCAAGCTATGTCGTCCACAATGACAAATTCTTTGTGTGATGGAAATTACTTTGCAAATTCTTTAATATTATTCATATTTATGACAAAAAAAAGACTAGTGTGTTCTAGGAATGACTCGTGTAAATGGTTCGGCATCATGACAATAATTTTGTAAAAAAAAATATACAAAGGACAAAAATAGATCGAATTGAAGTATCATATCAAACGAAACTTGGCTAGTGAAATATGCAATAAGGTTGATTCTACATGCGGTGATTGCGGTCGACCGGCTAGGCCCTAACCAAAATTGATCTATATTAGGTGGCAAGTGTTTGCAAGCTAGGGGTGCTAAAGTCGGATAATCTGGATTTGATTTGAATATCTAGTACTATTTTGAATTAGATATCTGGTTCATCTTACTTTGTAGTTGATTTAGTTCAATAATTAAGTCCACTTCAGACAAAAGAACAAAAAAAATTTGAATTGAATTATCATATCATAACGAAACCTGACTAGCTAGGGAAGTATGCAATTGTGAGGTTTTGAGTTTTTTAGCTCTACATGCGCTGATTACGATCGACCAACTAGTCCCTAACCAAAATTGATCTTTAGTTGTCATCTTAAAGTGGCTAGTGATGGCAAGCTAGGGGTGTTTAAGTTGGATGATTTGAATCTAATTTGAATGTCTAGTATTTTGAGTTGGATACCTATTTCATCTTACATTATAATTGATTTATTAGTTCAATATTTTAGTTCAAATCAAACAATTTCTAACTGATTAGTATTAGGTAAGATATGATGCCATTTTTTGTTTTGCCTATTTTTGTATTATGTAATTCAAGCTCCAAGTGAATGGACCAAAGATTTGGGCTGCCCAATTTCATTGTTGGTTGAATACCAGCTGCAAAGCCTGCTTTTCGTTGTAACAGAAGGCCTGTTAGGCTGTTTGTTACTACACAATTCACAATAGGTCCTATCACTCATTCACTCCTATGGTCCTATGACCTTAAAAATACAGTATGGTAGTATGATATAGACCTGACAATTTTGACCCAGACCTGATAATCCGATTTATGACCCGAAATCGACCCAAAAGCATTAACCCAAAATTGACCCGACCCGACCCATAACAGACCCAAAATTGGAGTTGACCCGATATTGACCAAACACCCGAATTTACCTGACCCGAAGTTGACCCGTTATTCGAAATGACCTGACCGGACCTGAAATTGACTTGAAGTGGTCTGACCCGAATAGACCCGACACACAAAATTTTCCGAACTAAAACTACCTTATAACTGAACTAAAAATGTCTAATGCCAAAAATGACTCAAGTTGTTCATCTCCAACGGTACCCAAGCTAATAAACTGAATTCATAATTCTTATTATAACAATAACAAAATATAAAATTATTGATTTGAGCTTGATCCACAAATGGAACAACTCGAACATGACTTGACCCAATTTTGACCTGACCCGATATGATCCGAACATACTCGACCCAAAAATGGTCTGACCCGAACATATTCGACCCAAAAATGACCCAACCCAAACTCAACCCGATACCTTACCCAAGTCATACCCAAAACATGAATTGATCCGACCTGACCCATACTCGATTCGAATATTAGCTTACCTGAAATGACCCGACTCAGACCCGACCTAAATGTATGACCCATTTACTAGGTCTAGTATGATGGTAAGAAAAAGGGTAATGAATCTAATGATACACATCACAGTGATTAACTTGGTATTTTCCCACTTGCCACACCCTCGCTTACACATAAAATTGGTCCTATTCAATTCAATTGACTTAACACTTTATTTGTATTGAAATTATTAACATATTAATATAAGTATATTTTTAAGATATGAATTGAAGAAGGTATCTTAGCAAATTAAATTTAAATTAATCTCTAATAGTCTTACCGGTCAACCTAATTTGAGTTAGCGTCTTAACATACTGTTGAGATGATATGGTTTTGATGATTATAAACAAATGATGCTTATTAACTAACTTGTGTGTTGATGTGCATATTAAACAAGTCATGGAGGATTGATCCTTGTATATCATGAAGATGGTTAGCGCAATAATCAGTGAAGTTCCCATGAGGGTATTTCTTAAAAGAAGTTCCTAATAAATATGGAACAAGTATTTAAAGTTATATTATTACTATATTTATTATTATTATTATTTAATTATGTTAGTTTAAGACTTTTATTTCTATACTTCACTTTGGTTTGATGAAAGTGTGTCAAGTGTACAGGTTTTTAGGCACGTTCTTGAGAAAGGAACAAGTTCCGGAGTTGGAACCAGGGAAGTTCTTGATCTCTACATGAAATACACTGCAAATTAATCGAAGGAAGAAAATAGAAAAGTTCAAGTCAAGTGTTCCTTTAGGAGTCTATATACAAGATCCTATGGAAGCACTATCAAGTTCCCTAAGTGGAAAATCAACATGCAGAGTAGCATGGAGCATGAAGACAAAAGATATGAGTTTATTTTCTAGGATTCATGTAAGTATGTAGAAACTTGAAAGGTATTGGAACTCACGGTACCAAAAGGAACTTGAAGGAGGTACAAAATTGATCTTCTCTAAATAAGCGTTCAACTATATTGAATTCTTATTTAGATATTTTTCCTAAGGAAAATACTTTATAAAACAAAGTTTTATTAATGTGATAAAAGTAAATATATTTTGGAAGAAAAGATTTTCTTTCGTTTTTTGGAAAATAAACCTAGGATATTATTTTACAAAAACTTATCTTTTCCTAAAAATATCTTTTATTAACTTCGATTGGCTATTTTCAGGGAAAATCGTTTGAGATATTTTAGTACTGAATATTCAAAGGAACTTGTAAAAGTTTGTAATTGGAATAGGTCTTCTTATTACATTTAAGTTGAAAATTATTTTACTGGAAATTACTCTTGTGATTAAATTGATTAAAGAAATGTTTTGGAAAATAAATATCTTGGATACCTTATTTTACCAAACGTTTTCTTTTTCTCCAAGGATTGATTTAAGCACTCCCTATAATTTCTCTCCAAGAAAACAGTTTTCAAATGGTTACCCATATGTCACGTTCATCACTTCTTTCCCACGTTCTCCACTATACTGATATTGGTTGTTCCTAAAGTTTAGGAACACTAATTGTTAGTTGTAGAGAATATGGAGGAAGTGGGTATGCTTGGGTACATTATATATACTAGTAAGAGGCTTTGCTTTCACTTTCAAATTGCTTGACCATAGAGAGTCTTTGTAAATGGTCTGGTTTTAGTGAGTCATTCCAAATGGGTCTAACTTAAGTGAAAAAGTTTTTCATATAATATATTTTGTTTTCACGTAATAAAGTTAATACCACAAGTTCCAAGTTTCCAAGAGTTCCAAGTTCCTAATTGTTCTTGAGTTTCTGTGTACTAAAGTTAAATCTATTATTGAGTTGTAATTTGAGAAAAAGGTTGAGTTATCTTTTGTAGAGACTTAAAATTGAGTCTTGAGTTTTCAAGCTTCGGGGTTGAAGCTATAGAGAGCATTTGGGGTAGATTTAGTTTCTAAAAGAACTTAAATTCTTATCGGGTTCCTTTAGGTTGTAATAGTATTGCCTATATAGTGAAGTCGATTTAGAAAATCCCAAATGGTCGTGGTTTTTCTTCTTGTTGGGCGCAAGAAGTTTCCACGCTAAAATCTTTCTTGCACTTTTATTTGTTCCATAGCTAGCATTAAACGTTTTTAATTTCCGCAGAATTTGGGAACACTAGTTCCTACACAATTCCCCCCCCTCTTGTGTGCTCCATCCAAAGAACACGTACACAAGAACAATGTCAACCTATCTACGTACTCCCTCTTTCCCTTTTTTATCGATCCATAGAGTAATGTTCACTTTTTTAATAACAAAACAAAATCATGCAAATGGATTTGTGAGTGAGGTTGTTGATACGAGTGATAAAGATAGCAAGTGAGAAAATTTACCAAATAAAATAATATAGCAATCTCAAAGAGACACCATAGCGTGAAATACGGGGCAAACAAAAAGAAACGAATTGAAAGGAGTAGTAAAAATTCATAAGCAAGCCCCACTTTTTAATTTTCAACTATTGGCAAATATGGTAAATAATAGCAAAATTACAGGGGTTTTTTTTTATTTTATTTATTTATTTATTTTATAATTATTATTACTGTTAATGACACAACTTCGTTCTTCTGTCACCTTCGTTTTCTTCAACCTTTCATCTTCCTTTCTCATCAACAATGGTGGATTTACCCCCCAAGTCCCCCAACTACAAAACAAACACCATCTCGAACGCCACAACAAACCCCAACCCGAACACCATCATAAAATGTAATGAAAAACCCTAAGAAAATATAGAAATTAAAGGCGTGGTTAACCCCCAACTGGTAGATGTTTGTCGTTTGTTTGTGAGTTTTTACTCCTTTATTAATTCCCTCAACCTTCATGGTTGCATAGAGAATTCTTCAAATTCAATTGTTGAGGAGAGAGAACAATGGTTTAACTTGTTTAACGACGTTTACCTTTCGTCTGTTTCTGTTAGTCATTAATTGACAAAAACAACCCTAACTTTTTCACCAATATGATTAGCTTGCCACCATGAGAAACATATAACATTTCTCATCTGAATAAACTTTTATTTTCTCAAAATTTATTGGATTATCACTAAAACTTGAAATTCATATTGTTTTTGCAGGTCTAAAAAGCGTAAAGGAACAAGCTCTGAGCACCTTATGGCTAGTGTTTATGATGGAATTAGTCAATCCCTGTATTCATATTGTTTAGCAAGTTATGAAAGTTGTACCCCCTCTCCACGATATAGTTCTTGTGTTAGTTTAGCAAAGAGAGCTAAACTCTCCTCTTGTTTATCTTGTAATCTCGAGTTTGTTGAGAGCTAACCTTCTTTTTCGTCCGTCGTTAAAAAAAAAAAAAAATTAAAAATTCATGGTGTCCCTAATGACTAATGTACACTTAAAAAAAGAAAGAATCCTCTTTGTTAAAAAAAAAAAAAAAAAGAAAGAATCTAAAATGACAAAAATGCCCCTGATATTAAACCTCTCAAGTCTCTTCATTCTTCCGCAGCGCCTCCCTTAGACAAAGTTACAGTCGCCATCTGTTTCTCTCCCTTCAATCTCTTCCACTTTCTTCTCCGGCGAACTCCCGTCTCCGCCGCTGATGGCCGGAAAACCACCGTCGTCTTCAAATTTTGCGAAATGAAAGGTTAATATTCTATTATCTATTCATAATTTAAATACCCGTTTTCTCTCTTACTTTAATTTGCACCATTTTTTCTTCAAATGAAGAAGATGATAAATAAAAAGATATCATCTTTCCCTCTGAATTTATGCGAGTTAATGTAGAAGCTCAGCAATTTTATTTTTTTGGTGAATAAGATTAAGAAGACTGCTTTTTAAAGAAGAATCTGAATTTTAAGCTGCATATAATTTTAGTGGCTTTAATTTATGTGACTATTAAGTGGGATTCTATAAGTTTGAAGGTGAAGAGGGAGAATTCAGATTATTATTAATCTCATAAAGAATATTTCTATAAACTATTATTTATTTTTCCAATTATTTTGCAACCGTTGAGTTAATGTTGTGACTTTATTAATTGATTATTATTATTATTATTATTATTATTATTATTATTATTATTATTATTATTATTATTATTATTATTATTATTATTATTATTATTATTATTATTATTATTATTATTATTATTATTATTATTTTTGTAATAGGGTTGCTTTGTGTAATAGGTTATATGTTGCTTGTGATTGATAATTGAATGTAACAAGGATTTTAATCTGGTTTATGTCACTATCTACATTTATATAATTTTCTGATCTTGTGGAAATGTCTTTAGTGTCAATTTATCGTGCTTATTTTATAATTTTATGAACAACTATGCTTTTTTTATGATTTGTTGGGGAAAGAGATTTGATGTGTTCAACTTTGACTATATATTGTATGGTTGATTATTGTAGTGTGTAAACACATTGATTGCAATTGCATTAAGCAAAAACCTCAAGATGAAGGTGGTGGCTTTGGTGAGCGGCGGCAAAGACAGTTGCTATGCCATGATGCAATGCATCCATTATGGCCATGAGGTGTTTTAGCAGTTTAATTTATTTATCTTAAGATACCTAATATCTGTTATGAATAACTGAGGAGTTATAACAATCAGATAATTTGTGTGTCGGGTCTAAATTTCTTGTCATTTTTATGTAGATTGTGGCCTTGGCTAATTTGATGCCTGTGGATGACTCAATCGATGAATTGGACAGCTATATGTATCAAACTGTATGTTTCCTCTTTCATTTTGTATCTGGGTTTCATCTTTTGTATTGCGACTTCAGGCCACTAGATAAGCGGATTTGTATTCTCTTCCTAGGCTGGGTTTGGCTTGCTATATGCTAATTAGACCTGGCTTGCTATTCTTCTGGTTTAACCTAGAATCTGAAAGGCCTTAAAGTTGAGGTCAATACAGTTATATTACTTCGTATATGGTCAAGAAGAAATAATAAGGTTTTAAACTAGGAAGTTAATATTAAGGCAGTGGATTGCTTTGGAGTTCGTTCAACTATATTTTTAGTTTTTTTGGTATACAATATATTAGGAGTTTACTTTCTTGAAATATCTGCTCTCTCTCTCTCTCTCTCTCTCTCTCTCTCTCTCTCTCACTCTTTATTTTTTTTCTTGTTTGTGTGTGTGTGGGGGGGGGGGGTGTTGGGCGGGTGTAGTAGAAGTGTTCTTCAGTTTGACTACAAAGAATAAGGAATTGAGCAACTTATCCTCCCCTTCTGTACCCTCTTCTTTATCCTCTCTCTTTTCCATGCTTTATATCCTTTTTCTTCTTTGTTCCCTGGATAAGACTGGATTACCTGGTTTGCATTAATTTTATGTTAGAACCTTTCTTTCGTAATCACTACCGCGAGCTCCATCATCACCTAAGAATATACTTGTATCATTTTTCCAAATGTCATAAGATTCTTAAATTTTCTATTCTCCCTCTTATCTGGTTCTTTTAGAATCAGAATGTAACAAAAGGTTGTTATCTAATTCCCTGATTGCTTTTTGATTCTTGGCTAAATGGTTGTAGGTGGGGCATCAAATTGTTGTCAGCTATGCAAAATGCATGGGATTACCACTATTCAGAAGGCGATTACAAGGATCCACCAGGCAAGCTCTTTAAACAGGATTGCTTTGGTAACCCAATCATCTTTCTTCTTCGTGCTTTTAGCCAAAGTACTCTCTTCGCTTGGATAGGCAATATGTTACTTTGTTTTATTTGAGAATCTTGAAAATGGCCTTGTTATCATTTAAGGATCCTCTTTCCATGTGAAAATCTATTTGTGTATACCTGTATATCTGCAGTTCTGCATGTTTATAAAAGCTGTAAATTGTTGCCACATTACCTTGGGCCTTTTTTTTTGTTTTTATCTTTTCCGTCATATATCTTCTTTGGGAGGCATCTTAGGTGGTGAGTGTCATAAGGAGTCCCAATATTGAAGAACTGAGACGTATTATGCTGATTTCTTACAATTCATGATCGGGATGATAAAAGTAGTGGCATTGATGGAGATGTATAAATCAACAAACACTCAAACAAAAGGGGTATCAATCCTAGTGTATAAAGGGATTTGTGTGTGTGTGTTTCCACTAATATTTGGGAGATTCTCATGTGTCTTAATTTTTGCTCCATGTAATCTACTGTCCGTGGATAGAATCACTGTTAATGGTGTCTCAGAGGCGTCTAGAATCTAGAATAAAGACTTTGTTATAGGCTTATAGCTGTTCTATTACTCCGTATATTTATATCTGTAGTTATAAAGATTGAACTCTGGATGTACAACTTAAGAAATACGGATTGAGTAGAACAATCTTTTTGTTACTGTTTACTTAATACTTTCACTTATAATGTGTTTCTGACAGTCGTGGATTCATTCTGGGTTGCTGTTTTACTTGGTGATTGAATATTGCTGTTTCTTTTTCTTGTATAATGCTGAAAGTCAATATTGAGGTTTTAGATGAATATTTTGCACTTACTGTGAGTTTGGAGTAACTCGTCTCTCTCTATAAGGTGTTTTTGTTTTTATTTTTTTAAATTATATGACTCTTTGTGTATAATTTTAGATCATTCTTGTAACTTCTATAAAGCTCCATTGTCTGTCTTATGTGCAACCAAGAAAAACAAAGGATAAATTAAATCTTTTATTGCTGCAGTGGTTGATAGATGATGGAAGCAACTCTAAATTGCTATAGTTTGTGACTTAGACAGGCACCATGAACTTAGTTACAAAATGACTCCTGGCGATGAAGTTGAAGATATGTTTCTTTTATTAAATGAAGTGAAGAGGCAAATACCCGCTATTGCAGCAGTTTCTTCAGGTGCAATAGCATCAGACTATCAGAGGCTACGAGTTGAAAGCGTGTGTTCACGATTAGGACTTGTGTCTTTATCTTATCTGTGGAAGCAAGAGCAGTCACTGCTCTTTCAAGAAATGGTAACTTGTAATAGCCAATATATTTAGAATTTTTTTCATAAATCTCAGCTCTGCTCTGCCACTGATTTTTGTATTGCGGTCCAATAGATATCAAGTGGGATCGTTGCTATCATAGTGAAGGTATGGTTTGCATATTTAAGTCTTTCGGAATAATGTCATCTTGTAACATACTGGTAATAGTTAGAATTTTTTGGAGTCAGAGTGCTAGGAATTTTTGTTTTTTTATCTGTTTTAAATTATTGCTATCCGTGAGAGTATTAGTAGAAATGTCGTTATTTAGTATTTTGTCCAATATGTTCCATAACTATTTAAATTGACGATGCTTCATACAATGATGGCGTTAGTTCTAATCATCATTATTAATTCTAGTCATTGAAAAGTACATATGCATTAGCTATTACCTGTCAGTAATCCAAAGAGGTTTGATTCTTTTGGCAAGAAAATTGATCACAGATTTACAGTAGTCCTTGGTGAGGGTCTAGGATCAATTACAATTTCATTGTCGGGTTTCATTACTTCTAAAAATGAGATGTTTGACTTTATGTTGTGAGAAACTCTCAATTTTTCACAATACTGTGAGAATTTGTTGAAAGTGATCTCCGATTAAAGTGCTATGTTTACATACTTTTTGGGACTAAGGCTTTGTTGTTGTTGTTTACATACTTTATTTAAGCCTTTTTGTGGTTTTGTGATTCTGACTTTGTCACCCTTGACTCAAAGGCATCAAAGCTCTATGGCCCTTTGCCTCCAAATACAAAGCTTCCACCTTTAATATGTGTTTATTTTTGAAATACAAGGAAAACTTTGGCATGCACATAAATTCTAGTTCGTTCTCTTCACAATTGTAGGTTGCAGCTATTGGATTGCACCCTGCAAAGCACTTGGGAAAGGAGCTAGCTGAGTTGCAGTCCCATCTTCATCATTTGAATGGGTATATATTCAATTTAACTGAACAACTTTTCTCATATTTTTTTCTTGATTGTATTAATATAAACTATGATTCACGACTTCACTGTACCTTTTGGTAGCTTGTATGGATCTAATGTATGTGGTGAAGGAGGAGAGTATGAAACGTTGACCCTTGATTGTCCTCTTTTTAAGGTAATATGGTATTTTCCACAATTCTTTTTGTCAATAACGATAATTACTACTTGGTAGTATGCACTTCAGCATCATTTAAACAGGAATTTATGCCCCTACTTTGAGTTAGTGTCATCTGTGCTTACTACCTACTACCTAGTATATTCATTGCCTGAAGACTGGCAATTGATTTGCATGTGTGTCTTTATACATTGCTTCTGGTCTTCTGGAGCATTCCTCGTATTTTCCTTTCCCATCGCCACTATCTTGATTTATAACATCCTCGACTTGTTTAGAAATCAAGTATGCAGAACTCATGGGCTTTCTCTTTTAAATTTTACAGTTTGCTCGAATTGTGCTGGATGATTTTCAAGTTATACTGCACTCTCCAGATTCCATAGCTCCTGTTGGGGTCCTTCATCCTTTGGCTTTTCATTTAGAACCAAAGGGATTGTCTACAGATTCTAGTAACAGCACTCTTTGTAATGGGATCTCCTTGGAGGATATGGATGGTGTCTATGAAATTCAGGGAGATAGCGCATTGTTACATGCAGACCCAAGCCAGTTTTCTGACTCTCTTTCTGATGTCATTGAAAATACCTCTTATCATCTGCAAATGTCAAAAATAGACAGGGGGGATACTTTCTCCATCTGTTGCTGGTTACAAGATTTGCACAGATCCTCAACTGGTAAATGATGCTGTGCATAACTGCATATGATAAACTGTCCTTTTTTATTTAAAAAAAAAAAATAGTGCAGGACATTGTTTTCATGATATTTAATTATTCCTCTATTGCATTTCCAATGTTAGGTTTGCAGAATGATCTCAAAGTTGTTTTATCTCATCTTGAATCACAACTCAAGCAATGTGGTTTTAGTTGGGAGGAAGTGCTCTACATTCATATGTATATTGCTGATATGAATGAGTTTGCTGTGGCAAATGAAACATATGTGAGCTATATAACTCAAGAAAAATGCCAATTAGGTGTTCCATCACGCAGCATAGTAGAGTTGCCTTTGTTGCAAGCAGGGCTAGGGAAAGCATATGTTGAAGTTTTGGTGTCACGGGACAAAACTAAAAATGTTCTACATGTACAAAGCATTTCACGATGGGCACCTAGTTGTATAGGGCCCTACAGCCAGGTAAAGTTTTTATAGGTATTCCCGTATTCAGGTTATTTCTAAAGATAGATTGATTTTATAACTGAGAGGACCTAAATAGATCTAAAATAGAGCTGAATTGATCTGGGATTGTTTCTTTTTTTGAACTACTCTTGCGGTTTGCTCTAGTCTGTCTAAAAAGAACTTTTTTTTTGGATTTGGGAATTATGGCTTTGACTGCTTATGTATACCAGTGGCTGTTATTAAATCATGATAGTCATGGTTTTGGAATTTAGGATTATTAACCAACTTCATATTTTATGTTCCCACAACTATTGTGCATCCTGCTTTGACAAATTATAAGATTTGCCACAAGATATCCTAACAAGTAACAACTGAAAACTTAAAAAGAATTAGATAAACTTGTTGACAGTAATTTGTATTAGACATGCCTAATGCTTGGATCACTTTTTAATTCATTCTTCCTAGTTCCCTCTATTTAACTACAGTTGGGGATTTTAATATCCTGGCAGATAAACTAAGTAGCTAATTGCTTTTAGTTGTATACAAATTGTACCATTCAGAATGTGCTTCATGTAACACTTGTAGTCTTGTAGAGAGTGTCAGGTTTGGACACTGGTAAATAGAATTGGTCCCAACTCCCAAGGACTCCCAACCAATGATCTATAATTAGAAAGCATGAAATTCTTTAGAGATGTCATTTTCAGTTTGGTACACGCTCAACCTGCTTTTATTTTTCTCAATCCTTGAGGGATGTAATAACATGTTCTAGGGGGTTCTCATTGTCGTGGTTGGTTTATAGGTAGTTTCCATCGCATCTGAAATTAAGATCTTGTCAATTATTTGAAAGACCAACACAAACCTAGTTACCCCTTGCTTCCACTTTCCCTCCCCCTTTCCTTTCCCTCTTCCCCTTTCCTTCCTCCTTTTCTATCTAAATACTTGGATATATCTTCTATGAGCTTTCTGCCCATGATGAACACTTGTGTTTTATGTTCTGATCTCTTTTACGCAACCTCACATCATGGAATACTTCATATGGCTGGGCAACTTGGCCTTGACCCTCCGACAATGACCCTTGGTGACGGTGGCATTATTTCAGAGCTGGAGCAAGCATTGTTGAATAGCGAAGCAATTGCTGATAGCTTTCGTAGTTCAATATCTTCCTCTGCAATTTCATTCATTGTTTACTGTTCAATACAAACTGTATCCTTGAATAGGGCTGAAATGCAGGACAAGTGGGAAGGATTTCTTGAGCAGTTAAAGAAACTTCATTCAGCTAAAAGAAGTGGATTTAAAGTATTTAATCCAATTCATTTGTTTGTCCTCGTCCCTCAACTGCCGAAGAGGTGCTTCCCCTATATCATTGTCCTACTTTCATTTTGAGTTGTTTCAAATTGGCTATCCTATATATGTCAAATATGCTATTAAAAAAAAAAAAAAAAATATATGTCAAATATCACTGTCATCAATGTATTGCTCTACTAATTATCTGTTCTCACTGGATGCATGTTATTCTTCTTTGTCTGTGTTTAAATTCAACCTGATTTCAGCATATGGAGTATGTATTTACTCACTATTGCATCTCTGTCGACTTTCTATATAGTCCTGGTCTTCATGTTCTAAAGTTTGTTTTCTTAAACGCCATTGGTCAAAGATATGGCTGTGATTGTCAATGAGCAGAGAACGACCTTGGACCTGGGGAACATGGGAGGCCTAATCAGTGCTCTCACTGAACCTATTTTTGGTATGTGTCCCAATTTAGGAGTAAAGGATTCTTATTTGGCTACATAAGTTGGTCTTTACAGAGTTGCGTTGTCATTTATAAAGTGTTCAATTTTCTTGCTTTTGCTCTGCCATATCCTTAGAGATTCCGGGTTATGCCCGAGACCAATTTTCATTGGAAAAAGCTGGTCAGTTTTAACTTATTTTAAGTTTATGCCTTTATTGTAGTATAGATTCCTTTATTGACGTAGTTTATATTTAAGCTGTGCTATGCTAGTTGCTTAGGACCTTATGTCCAAAGGGTTAATATGCGAACATAGCTCTTGTTTTATTTAAAATAGTAAAACTATGCTCTTTCGATGTGCATGTAATATCATCTATTTTCCTTTTCGTTTCTGTTGGTGCGTATGTAACGTTGTGGATATCATATTTGATTCTGTTCAATAACTCAGAAAAGACAGGAGTCCATGATGATAGCATATAAAATAGCTGAACACTGCTGAGCAGGATATGTTTTCACAAGTTGTGGAATACTGATAATTTACCTCTATTTTTGAATATTGTAGAGCTCTTGTTGAGGTAAAACCGACACTTTTCATTGTGGAGGATGATACAGATTCAGCAAGTGACACAGATCAACCAGATGCCGGTAATGCAACTCCACAAAGTTACTGGGGGTTTCAGGAGGATCTGTGGCATGATTCTTGCCTTCAAAAATGCATTATGCTGAAAAATATATGTGCAGTTATGCTAAGCATTACAGGTGAAATTATTGCAAAGATCTGCAATGACTCCCTCGTTTCTGAGCATTCCCTTTCTGAAGGACAAACTGTAAAGGTCGCGAAGTTCTGCATTTATCTTATCAACAAAATCCTCACCGAAAACATGTTTTCCTGGGAACATGCCATGGTACGTTGATTCCCTATGTTTTTTTTTTCATTGTTTTCAGCTTATTCTATTTTGGTGATGGGATATTATTTCGGGCTGTTTCTTTGTTGGATTAATACATCTTTTTTAATCCAGTACTTGAGGATTTACTTTCAAACTGGTTCTTTGGTACAAATGGAGATGTTATCACTTACATTCAGCCAAGCATTCAAAGAATTCGGAATGATCAATCCGAAGTTTTAAGAGTGGCCATGCCGATCCCATTTTTAACCTCATTCCTGTCCTTGGCTCTGGGAGGTCTGCAACATCTATAGATGCAGTATTGACATGTGAGTTGCTAACTCAGAAGCCTTCATCTTAGATTGGATTAATCCTTATTTTCTAGGAAGACACAAGGTTTGGTTAATGAAATTGTAGATTAGTATAAACAGGAAATAGAAATTGATCTGAATTCCTCTTTGCCAGTTATTTTTTTATTTTTATTACTGTCTACATTATTGGCGTGTAGTTCCTCGTGGCCGCGCTGGCAGCAGCCAGCCGCCATGGTGGCGCATGCATTTCATATCTTATTAACAAAATATTTTAGTTTAAATTTAACCACGTAGACGATAAGACATTAGGTGTCTTGCTTGAATCAATCAAAATTAGTTGTACCTGTGTATTGGGTATGAAATTATGAATCATTCTTTCATCTTTTAATTTAATACAAGGTATGTATGAGATTCATGCAGACATATATTACACTATATGTTCGTAAACCATAAACAATTATGAATATGTTGCATTCGTAATTTATACAGTATAAATACAAGTTCATCATTGTTAGCATAAAACTAACAAAACAAAAGATAATGGAGTTGCAAGTAGAAATATTATCAAGGGAAACAATAAAACTAGCCATTTCAACACCTCCTCATATCAAACACCACAAATTATCTCTACTAGACCAACTTTGCCCATTATATTATGTGGTGACCAATACATTATGCTCCTATTGAGAAATGTAATGAAGATCATATCACCATTATGTCCATTAATGATACTTTTGCTGCGCTAAAAGACTCTAACCAAAGCATTGTCTCTATTCTACCCTCTTGCCGGTAGGCTCGCTCCCTATGAATCTTCCATTAACTGCAAAGACGAAGGCATACCATTCGTCGAAGCTCGTTGTGATTGCACTCTCTCGTCCTTCCTCCACGCTCAAAACCGTGTTGATTTTGTTTGGCGTTTCGTACCTAGCACAATCCCGCCTTCCGCTGATTTTTATCCGCAAACTACTTTTCACGGTCTTCAAGACGCGTGTTCAAACGTATTTATCTTAATTTTCTATACGCATAAAAATTATAAAAGTTTGATATTAATAAAATATACAATGAGATGATTCTAACATAACCCCACATGAATATATTATCACTTATAGATTATCGGGAATTTATGGTCAAAGTTTTATAAGTTTGACCCATAAAATTACAATGGGGCAAAAAATAAGGGACGGAGGGAGTATATTTGCAAAAGTTATTAAAATTTGATGTTTGAAAAATTAAAATGTAGACAGATATAAATAAAACTCGACACGACTACGTTTTTAAATTTCTTAACACTAAATCACCAAAAAGAAGTCAAAGTAAGTTACTGTATGCAAACAGTGTATAAAGTCAAAACGTGTTAAATAAAAAAACAGAAGAACTTTAATAGAGATAAAACAATATTAAATTGTGGAGGAACTATAAAACAACATTAAATTGTAATATAAGGTAAAAAAAAAAAGTTAGACGAACTTAAAAAATAAATAATGCAAAAAGTCATAGTGTTACTTAAAAAAACAGTAAAGAGCGAGTATAACTGACACACTACACACATCACATCATATATTATAATTAATATATAAAGCTAAATTTTTAGTCAGGCCACGTCAAATGTTGTTACAGTTTTTTTTTTTGTTTACTCCGTATTTTAGAAATAGACCAGTTGCACCTCGTGAGCCTCGTTGCTTTATGATGCACACATGCATATGTTAAATGTTGGTAGAGATCGATTGTGTTTTGTTGTTTACTCCGTTTTTAAGAAATAGACCGGTTGACGATCAAATCATTGATGCACCTCGCAAGCCTCGGTCTCATCATTTGCGCATTGTATCTTTATGATGCACGCATGCATATGTTAAATGTTGGTAGAGATTATGTTTTGTTGTTTACTCTCTATTTTAGAAATAGACTGAGTGATGGTCATTTCATTTGCTCGACCTTGCGGGCCTCGGTCTCATCATTTGCACCTTGTGGCTTTATAATACTTCATTTAGTATTATAGCGCTTGTATTATTTGCCTTTTGGTTAAAAGAAATTAGTGTACTACTTCACCTAAATTGATTGAAAAAGATAAAGGAAAAATACACTTTAATAATCTCAACTATTGTCGATTTACTTCTAATAATCCCAATTAAGGTTTATTTTTTAATAATCCTAACTATGCCTGCCTTTGCCTCCAATGGTCTCAACCGATCAACACCAAGTCAACGACTTGTTGTAGCAGGTAACCAATACATGTGTCAGCACGTGATTGGTCTAAAATTAAAAAAAAAAGGGGAAAAAAAAAAACCTGGACATCCACCACCACGAAACCCAAGGGCTAAACCCGAGCCCATCGGAAACGGCCAGCCGACCTCCGTTGACCCCAGAAATCGGCACTGGAGTTGGTTGTGATTGTGTTAATTATTGAGTGGTGGAGGTTGCGGTTTGTGGTGAAAATTTGAAAGTTTTTTTGATATTCCGGCGAGGAGGGAGGGAAGGGAGGGGGTGGTTTGATGTTCACTACTGCGATTAGTGGTCGAAATTGATGTAAAATGTGGCGAATTGTGGTTATTGGAGGTCCAATTGATGCTTCGTGGATCATGGCTTTGGGGTTGCTGCGACTGCTTCTGCTGTTGTTGCGGCGACCAGGCGGCGACGCGAGCAGTTAGGGGTTGCTCACTGTTGTTGTGGCGACGCGAGCAGATAGGGGTTGGTGTAGGGTGGATCGTGGCCGGTGGTTTTGGGGGTTGGGAGGACCTGCCGGCCATTTTCGGGGGGGGGGGTGTTAGGAAAGTGGCTGCCCGGTTTCCGGTGGGCTGGGGATTGGCCTAGGGTTTCACGATGGGTGAAGGGAGAAGGGGGTGGCTGGGATGGTTTTTGTTTTTTTATTTTATTTTATTATTTTCTTTCCTTTTTTATTTTTTTTTAATATTAGGTCAATTATGTGCTGACATGTGGCATTTGAAAACAAAAAAAAAAAAAACATTTACCCTTTCACCAGGTAACCGGATTTTGGGTCTATTGGAGGCAAAATCAGGTAATAGTTAGGATTATTAAAAAATAAACCTGAATTAGAATTATTTGAAATAAATCGGCAATAGTTGGGATAATTAAATGGTATTTTTCCAAAGATAAAAACATTATCATTGATTATTAGAGTATGTACTTAATTGAATACAAGTACATGTTTTATTTATTTTTTCAAACCTTGTGTGTACATTGAATATAAATAATCTAAGTGTACTTTTTTGTAAACTCATTCACAAACCAACCTAAACCATTTACGTCCCAAATCGATTTAATTTGAACTCGAACCCGCATCAACCTGGGTAAACCCGCTCCCAAATTGGTCTGTTCAAGCCGATCTGATTAGATTATAATCCAAACCGTTTATTTTCCCAATCGTTTACGATCCAAACTGTTTATTATCCAAACCAATATGAATCCAAAACCATTTGAACCTAGGTAAACCTGTTCCAAACCGACCCATTTCAATCTAAACTGTTGATAACTCGAACCATTTACAAGCCAAATCAAATTAAAATCGCACAAATTAAACCAAAACCAAACCGATAATAATTTGAACCGAATCGAAACCGACTCGTTGGTCAATTGAACCGATTTCAAACCGACATGTTTTAAACCGAACCAAAACTAACAAGTATCTATATGACTATATTTAATCTTATACAAAATATATAATTAGGGCGGCAAATGCACTTTATGCGTGATATCAAGCCATGACTAAGTACCTCTTTCGGTTTGGTCTTATGTCACGGTTTGGTTTTATTCACAAATTTATTTAGATGATAAAAATAGGAGTATTAATTAATAGTTGTCTACCGAATTAACCTTTTAAACTCATAAGTTAATCCGATTCAAGTTAACGGGCTAGACACACAACAAACACATTATTTTTGGAATATTTAGTCCGCTTTCCTCTTTTCAATACTAGAAAGTTTGAGTCGTCGCATACTTTTTCCTCTCTCTCTTTCCTCTTTGGGCGATCAGAGAAAACCTCCGAAAGACGTCAATGGCGCCACAAGATGATCAACCAATTGACGCCGCCATAGATTCTGAAGCTCAGAGAAAACCTATTTCAACCATTGTTATCTTCATCGGTAATATCCTCTTTCTTCTTCTTCTTCAATTTTACATTTACAGCTTCATATTTTTTGCGATTGATTGAAATTCTGACTGTTGAAATTTGGTGGAATTCAGCTATGCACACCGAAGCTCTACCTCTGGTTAATCGGTTTCAACTCAAAGAAGAACACGATTCTTTGTTAGTTTTTTCGCCTCTTTTTATCCCTCTTCAATTCATTTGTGTTTTCGATTTTGATTTGCTTAATTGTTCGTAATTAATCGCTGTTTATCGTTATTGTAATCTGATTTGCTTCTGAATTTGTTGTATTGTTTGCCAATTTTTGGTCATTTTGCTGATAATTCCAAAAAAAAAAAAAATTAAAAAATGAAATTGTAGGTTTCCGAAAGGAGTTCCTTGGGTGCGCTATCATGGAATTTACAAGGATTTGCATATATACATCGTGCAACCTGGGAAAGATCCTGCACTAGGTGAGAGCTATCTTTCTTGATTGAAGATTTTTTAATTTTCATGTTTCCCATTTTTTTTATTCAGGGCTTTATATTATGTTATCTGTATTTTTGTTTGCGATCAATAATTCAAGAAATTGCTTAGAGTAACTAAAGAGTTTTGATGAGTTCATATGAATTATATATTTCGCGTTGTACATATAATTACTCCGGTGGTAGAAAGGTTGAAGGAAATGGAGATTTATTTGGCAGCTGTGTTATAGCTGATATGTTATTCATTTGATATTAGGCTATTCATTTCATCTAATTTCTAAGTACCGAATGAAGAGTAACTGAGATTTATATTCGTATCACACAGTCTTAGGTGGAACACGAGTGGGTAATTTCTCTGGAAATTGACTACCTAGCTGCTGTCTAGATTATTATGTAGCTAGGGATGTATCCCTTTTGCATTACTCTGGTGTTTTCTTTAAGGAATGTATTTTGGGGGGGGGGGGGTGGGGGTCAAACTAGATGACTCATTATTCTGTATTACTGTTCTTATTATTACTTTATATACTATGCATAATCATATCATCAGCACTAGAGTTTTCCTAGACTTCTTTACTAATATTAGGGAGACTTAACCACAAAAAGTTAGATCTATATATTCTTCTTCTTGCAGTCAGCAGTCTCAGACTTTAGTTTCAAAACAATTGTAAATCTGTGTTTTAGGTTCGTTATCATTTTGATTATTTCTTGCTCATTTTTTTTTGGAATAACCAAGCGAAGTCACCAGGAAAAAATTAAAGACAATTAACTCTGAACATTTGGTCTTTAGGTGTTGCCCACCTTTAGTAGTTATGGATAATATTCATACCAGCTTGACTTAGATGTGGTTATGATGCTTCTTACTTAGCATTACGTGTTCATCGGCATATGTAGATGTTCCTCTGTTTCTATCATAGTATTTTTTTAATATCTTTTCTATAGTTTGATGGCTATGTATGTTGTTCCTGCTGTGTAGGGAATACTGACCTTTTGCTATTCACGAATTTTTACATTCTAGGTGTTGATAGTGTTGGTACAGTCTCTGCATCGCTTGTGACCTATGCAACTATTCAGGCATTGAAGCCAGACCTTATCATAAATGCAGGAACTGCTGGTGGTTTTAAGGTACATTGTGATTTTCTTGAGAATACATCCTTGGTTTATAATTTTGTGGCCCGCTGTCTCTTCTGCACATCCTGTCTTGGTTTTTTCTTTTTTTTTTTTATTTATTTATTTATTTATTTATTTTATATATATATATATATATATATATATATATATATATATATATATATATATATATATATATATATATATATATATATATATATATAGAGGAAGGCTCATGTAAGAACCCTCCTCTATATAAGAACCCAATCTTATATAAGAACCAATCTCAGCCCTTTATTAGTTTTGATCTAACCACCTAAAATGATCCTTTAGTAATGGCATTTCTGTAATTTTGAAAAGTTTACATTTAAAACATAGAAAAAAATTTAGAATATGGGAAAATTTTTAGAACATAAGCAGAAAAAATTTAGAACATACAAAAAAAATTTAGAACATAAGCAAAAATAATTTAGAACATAAAAAAAATAATTTAGAACATAAGTTGAAAAAATAATTTGATTTATTTTCATGTTTTACTATTAAGTTATTATTGTTTACTTTCGATTTTTTTTTTTTTTATAGAGATAACCTATGTAGGAATCGAACCTACATTCTCTATGCATTTGCATAGTGCTCTACCAATTGAGCTAATAGGTTTTAGGCCTTTTAGCATATGTTCTTCTTTTTTTCATTTACCGTAAATGTTCATAAGTTTTTTGCTAATACTTTAGTTTTTCAAAAGTATTTTTGCTAATACTTTAATTTTTTTTTCTGCCAATGCCTTTTTATATGTTCTAAATTATTTTCCTATGATCTAAACTTTTTTTATCCATTACTTAAAATTTTTCTGTCTATGCTTTGAATTTTCCATATATTTCTGAAAATTTTCACCATATGTTCTAAACTTTTTCTATCTATAATCTTAGAACTTCTCACCCTATTTTCTAAACTTTTATCCTATATACTAAATTTTTTCACCCTATGTTCAAAACTTTTTCTGATGTACTAAATTTTTTCGCCCTATGCTCTAAACTTTTTTTCCTATGTTCTAAATTTTTTTCACCCTATGTTCTAAATATTTTCACCCTATGTTCTAAACTTTTTGACTATGTTCTAAATTTTTTTTTCATATTCGACATTTTTTATCTATGTTCTATATTTTTACCTATGTTCTAAAAGTTTTCATCTATGTTCTAAATTTTCTGTCTAAGCTCTAAATATATGTTCAGAATTATTTTCATATGTTCTAAATTTTTTCACCATATGTTCTAAACTTATGTTCTAAATTTTCTTTTATGTTCTAAATTATTTTTCCTATTTTCTACACCTTTTCTTAAGTTCTAATTTTTTTTTCCCTATATTATAAATTTTTTAAAAAAAAATTTCACTTATGTTCTAATCTTTTTTCCCTATGTTCTAAAATTCTTATGTTCTAAATTTTTTTGTTGTGTTCTAAACTTTTTTTTTTCTATGTTCTAAACTTTTATCCTATGTTCTAAACTCGATCTTATACCCATATTGAAAACTTGTATACCTATGTTCTAAATTTTTCTCTAATAATCAAAATATATGTTCTAAAATTTTGACTATGTTCTAAATTTTTTCCCCTATGTTCTAAATTTTTCTGCCTATGTTCTAAACATTTTTTTCTATGTTCTAAATTTTTCATATGTTCTAAATTTTTTACTTATGTTCTAAATCTATATTATTCTAAATTTATAATAAGATTAGTTTCCTTCACTTTTCGTGCACTACTACTCTAGCAATAACTAAGCAAAATTTGTGGCTTAATCAACCAAGCTATCTAGTTTAATTCCAAGATATGATAATTAGTTAAAATGACATGGAATCAAGAATAAAGATACCCAACTACATATATAAATAACAGCATCCAATTAGTCGGTCATCAACTCATCATGGCTCCACATATATATATACCCAACAATCAAATTCATATAATCTCAAAAAATTAGTAAGCCAAATTACCAAGCTAATACAAATACTAGCATTCTCTTTAGAAAACGCAAACAATATGAGCAGATATGAGTACGAGTATAAACAAGAGACGACTATTCTATGCCACAACTCACAGCCACCCCAACACCACAAGCAGTCGCGGACCACCAAATCACCATTCAGTAGCACCCCACGCTGCTCCTAACCACCGCACCACCATTACTCACCCTCGATCTCCACCTTCACTCACTAAAAATGACGCCAAAAAGAAAAAAAATCGAAAAAAATGGGCTGAAAAATCTAATAATCAAGAGCAGCGGTGAAATTACCCCATATTGCTGAAATTCGAAACTAAAATCGCTAAAATTCGAACATTAAAATCGCTGAAATTCCAGCCCTAAAATCACTGAGTTTGAACCCTATAATCGCCAAAAATTAACGAAAATCAAATCAGAATAGAATTCGAACTGAATAATAGGACTTAATAATCGTACCCAAAAAAATCGAATAGAAATCGCAAGATGAAATCAAAAAATCGAAAGCAACAAAACAATTAAAAAAAAATGGAACAAAAATCACACAGAAATCTAAAAATTGTAGTCGAAATTAAGAAAAAATTGAACATCATGCGAAATTTGAATGAAATCTAAAAAAAAACGTACTTGATTTGAACAATTTAGGTTGGTTATGCGAAATTCATGCGAAATTTGAAGAAAATACTTCAATAAGTTCAATTTACAGGATTTGAGGAGAGAGAAAGTAAAGAGGATTGAAAATTTGAGGAGAGAGAAGATTTTGGACGGTTGGGGGAGGGTTTTTGGTTTTAATCCTGACCGCTCATCCTAATATAATCCTACGAATGAGATTGGTTCTTATATAACTAAGGTTCTTATATAAGGAGGGGTTCTTACCGGATCCCTCCCCTATATATATATATATATATATATATATATATATATATATAAACGAGGTTATTATTTTACTTATCATTGTTGTTTAATTTTTCTTGTTTCCAAAGTTCATTCAATATTTCAATCTAGAATCTAGATGTTGATTTGTTCTTAGTAAGTTGATCCCCTTTTGGACATGTCACAGAGACAAAGAGGGTGAGATGGTTGTTTGGTTGACAAATCAGTATTCCATTGCTTCCTAACTGCTATAAACATACTCAACATTGCTGTCAAACTTATATATATGAAGGCCTAACTCTTCTTTAGAGTGTGGATTTTATGCTTAGGATTTATGTTTATTGAGAAATTAGTGTTTTTCCTTGAACAACGAATTTGGAAATATCTGTGTTCTAAAGCCACCTCTCTTGACTGGTATAACTTTATTGATTAATAATTCTATTCTGTACATTTCTCTATGTGAAAAAAGGAGGAACTAGTATATCATTCATTATTTCTTGAAGATCGAACCCTTATTTCTTATTCTTTCAGGCAAAAGGAGCAGGCATTGGGGATGTCTTCCTTGCATCGGAGGTTGCATTTCATGACAGAAGAATACCTATACCTGTAAGTTTCCAGTTTCTTGCACTTGACCTATTTTCAGCAACTTGACCTAATAGCAATTGGCCTGCACTGACAAACTTTTCCTCGAACATAAAGAAGCCAGTGTTTGAGGCTGTGGCTTTTCACTTATGAGCTAGGTTGTAGTTTTCGTTGAGCTTCTTTGTGAACTAATTGCTGAGTGGGAATTTGTCTGTTACACACCATACCCAAACATTGAGACTACCCTCCTAGCTGCCATCATAAAACAAGCAAAACCAAAATTTTAAGTACCAATTATAAAGTCATAATTCCTACTAGTCTCCTAGCTATCATAATAAATCTAGAAGACCAAAATATATGTACAAACCAGTAATTCCTAGTATCTGCTATCTTCTTTGAATTCATTATCCTATAACTTTTGTGAAACTACCACTATGAACTATGAAGTCTTCCCTCTAGTGCTTTGTGATGTAAACTTACCTGCAGTCTGTAGTACATGCATGACGTAATGGTTGGAGAATGCTGAAGGGCCTGTTTACAGGATCTGTTCTCATATGCCATTCATTGTAAATGTCTACACCAATATGCTACACTCAACTGATCTATTCTCAATCAATCAATCAAAGCCTTAATCCCATAAGTGGGGTCAGCTATATGAACCAAAAGTGATTATTCCGTGTAGTCATCGACAACTTTTCAATCAATCAATCAAAGCCTTAATCCTACTCAACTGATCTATTCTGTTCTCCTTATTTCTCTATTTTTCTTACAGGCATTAGGCATATTGTGGTTATATATTTATCACTGTCATCTTTTGGTCCAGTTGAAATAGAAAAGGAACTGTTCAAGCAGCACCTAGACATGCTTTTCAAACAATGTGTTCAAGTATGAAAGCAGAAAGTGCTTTAGTTTATTTTTTAATGCAAAAGTTTCCTGTCGGGTTCAAATGTCCTAGTTGCGTTCCACATCACTGCTTGATTTTTTAACCAAAATTCTGTATACATATGCAGGTTTTTGATCTATATGGGGTTGGTCTGCGACAAGCCTTTTCAGCATCTAACATCTTGAAGGAGTTAAATTTGAAGGTAATAATTAATATTATTAGTTCTGAAGGATTTAACTAAGTACTAAGACAATTAGACAATAATGAATCTAAAATCCAATTGAAATCTTCCACTCCTTACTGGCTAATAATTTATAATTTTGCAGAAAATTTGCTCTTCCACTTCCCCATTCTATGTCATATTTTATTGGATTCTTGACGCTTAGATATCACCATATAGCTCTGTGCTCACTTTTGCTGTTATAAATCTTTGCAAAGGGCTGCATTGCCTGCATTTTGGGAAGCAGGGGGTCAGATGTACTGTGTATCGGAACATTTACCTTCCAACTTCTGTTTCAATATGTAGCATTTATCTGTCTACTTTTGGGTTTGACTTGTCCAAGTATTGTAGCAAATGGATTTGGAGTTTACCTGCTTGGACACTGTATCATGCTAAAAAAAGAGTATAGGTATGCTTTGAACTCATCCATGTAGGCAATGAAGTAGTGTACTAGTGTGAAATAAAAAATAATTATAAATAAATAAGTAAATAAAACAGTAACTTTTACATTGCTATGCGAGATAGCAGAGGGACCAAATGTTATGTCACATTCATACTTGCTGTATATCTACAAGGTGGCTTTAGTTCCCTTACTGTCCTCCAAGTTTGGAATTTTTTCCATTTTTTAGTTGTCCCAAAGGTGCTGTTAATAATTCCCTAAAATCCTATATACATGTCAAATAGGCTTTGCAATAAATATGTAATCCCTTACATATCTTGTATTTTCAATGTTTTACTGTTAAAACTTATTTGAGACGAGGAAGTAAGACTTGCATCAATCATTATCTTTTACACTTTGAATTATGCAAAGGCATAATTTGTAAGACTAAAGTCATAAGGCACAAGGCCACTTAATGTGCAAAGGATACCCTTCCCTTTTGTTATATATATGACTGTTGTGTTTGTGATCATTAGGATTTTAGAAATTATAATACTTGAGATGAATTCAGAAAAACTTCTAATGGGATATCTCTTTTCCTGATGTTTCAGCTTGGAAAATTGTCAACTGGTGATTCGCTAGACATGTCCCCACAAGATGAAGCTTCAATCACTGCAAATGATGCAACAGTGAAGGACATGGAGGTAATCTCTCCTTAAAATCATTGATAGTGTTATTCTATAGGGCAAGAACTTTAATGTTATATACCCCTGATTATTAGACAATAAGATGAATTAGAAGACAGATTTCGTAGACTTTTATTATCCCCCATCAGTATCTTTTCTGCTGTCATGATTACAAATTGCAGAATCTGGTTGATTTCGTAATAAATATCCATCATCACCTAGTAGCTTTGTAACTGACTGCCTACAAATAGAGACAGTATGAAGTTATGCAACCAGAGTTTTGAAAAGGTTTAGGATTGATGATGGGGTAGGGAGGGACGTGAACATGGCAGTGGGATCACAGGATAATAACTGAAGCATCAAAAGCAGCCAATCTATACCTTCTTTCTGGATTACAATTTCTATTTATAAGGCGTTCTCGTCAGATTACTGAACTCTTGATGCTGGTTACAGGGTGCTGCTGTTGCATACGTGGCTGAGCTCCTAAAAGTGCCAGCTATATTTCTGAAGGCAGTGACAGATATTGTTGATGGTGATAAGCCCACTGCAGAGGAGTTCTTGCAAAATTTGGCTGCCGTCACCGCTGCTCTTGATGAGACTGTTGCTAAAACTATTGATTTTATCAGTGGGAAGTGCCTATTGGAACTCTGAGGTCTCCTTCGTCACCATTCTTTGCAATTCCTTGACAGAAGCACGAAGTTTGTATGAGCTCTCGTGGTAATTGTCCTATTAAGACAGCACAACTCAAAGGTGCATTAACTTCTAGTTTTTGGTGTTGGGGTTAAGGGGTTTGCTGGTCTTCAAAGTTGTTTTTATACAAAATCTTTGCACCCACAGAATAGATAAAGCAAAGTATACTCCTTTAGATGGTCCTGCAATTTAGACTGTAGTATTCAAAGTACATTGTCAGTTTACCACTATTACGAGTGTGATGTCTAGTTGGTTACTCATTACAATATGATAAATCAAAAATGACCTTGAACAATCCTTGAACATCGTTGCACTCTGTGGCCTTTGTTGTAATCAGTAATCGTCACTGGGCGTCGCAGTGGGTTCTTCCCATCAGTTCAAGGTCTGGCTGGTACCGCCCACATGTAGTGGTCGAGGCACCGAGCCAAGGCTTAGGTCAAACACAATTGTTTAGATTTGAAATCACAAATTTTGAAAATTTAATTTTTCAAGAAAAATTTAGTTGAGCATTATCATTTAGTCAAAGGAATTTTTTTAGGTTTAGTTAAAATTTCTCATTTCTTATTACTTCTCTTTCTGTCGGCATATTTTATGTATAACCGGTTGTACTTTGAGTATGGCATAGTTGTTGTTCTTTCTTTGTCCATGACTTATATCTTGTGGGCATATTTTGGTCATAGGGCTAATAGCATGAAGTTGCTAAACTTCCTCTGTACAAATAATCATTTAAATAATTTTGTCCAACTTCAACTACAAATTTTTTGCAGAACCTAATCACGTCACCAAAATCATACCTTTTTTTTTTTTTTTTTTTTTTTTTTTTTTTTTTTTTTTTTTTTTTGAAACACACCAAAATCATACCTTCAAAGACACAAAAAAGGACTAATTAGAAAGAGCACAAAATTTATGCTGCTTAGCTACTTTTTGTATGATAATTACAAGAATGCAAACCTAAAAATCTTTCTACACCTCTCTCACAATAATTGCTTTACGAGAATAATTTACTATATTTTATATTCTGAAGCCTACTATATGGGAAATTTCGAAATATAAATGCCCAAAACTCTTTCAAGAGATCATATATATTTCTAGAGCTTAATTATCATTTTTCAGATCACCTAAAGCTTATCTATCAAAAGCCGAAAATACATAAGTTTGTGGTACTTGGTTAATTGGAGTATGGGGATACAAGATATCAAAGTTGATGCAATGTCAAAGAAGGCTACCCCAGGAAAAGCAACCATTCTAGCCCTTGGTAAAGGTTTCCCTCACCAACTTGTAATGCAGGAGTTTTTGGTTGATGGATACTTCAGGAACACCAATTGTGATGATCCTGAACTCAAGGAGAAGCTTAATCGCCTTTGTAACTCTCTCCCTCCCTCTCTATCTCTTTCGTCGATATCATGTTAATGAATGAAATAGTCGAAACCCCTACAATAACTTAATTATTCTAATCAACCATAGAAAAATGCCAACATAGATCTTTCTTACGTCTGTAATTTACATTTTACTTTTTATAAAAATCGGCGATTTTCAATTTTCGCTATTTATATTATTTTTTAGTTGATTAAAGGCTGAACTTGTGTATTTTAGGCAAAACAACAACAGTGAAAACAAGGTATGTGGTAATGTCAGAAGAGATCCTAGATAAATATCCAGAGTTAGCAATTGAAGGCCGGCCCACTGTAACACAAAGGCTTGACATTTGTAATGAGGCTGTGACCCAAATGGCAATCGAGGCCTCTCAGGCCTGTATTGCAAACTGGGGCAGGCCCTTTTCTGACATAACCCACTTGGTATATGTGTCCTCGAGTGAGGCCCGTTTGCCCGGCGGAGACATCTACCTTGCCAAAGGGCTTGGGCTCAAGCCCGAAACGAATCGGGTTATGCTTTATTTTGCAGGTTGCTCAGGTGGTGTTGCGGGGCTCCGAGTGGCCAAGGATATAGCAGAAAATAACCCAGGTAACTTTTTACTTGACAGTTTGTTATACAACATGTGCCTAAAGTTTAGCTATGAAAAAACTACAGGTGTAACCGTGTAATGTTTAGTTAGGAAAACATGTAACATTCTCAACTATGTGTTGACACGTTTATTTAACACAAGTTAAGACACTTTTTATTGTCTGAACCTTTAACGTCTAGTATTTTGTGTTATTATTGAATATGACATGGTTTAAACTATGAATTTCATTGATAGGTAGCAGGGTCTTACTTGCAACTTCAGAAACAACAATTATAGGGTTTAAGCCACCAAGTGCTACTAGACCATATGATCTAGTTGGGGTGGCATTATTCGGAGATGGTGCTGGGGCAATGCTAATCGGATCAGACCCAGATCCTATCATCGAAAGACCACTTTTCGAGCTCCACACAGCCATCCAGCATTTCTTACCTGATACTGAGAAGATCATTGATGGTAGGCTAACAGAGGAGGGCATAAGTTTCAAGCTAGACAGAGCATTACCTCAAATAATTGAAGATAATATAGAAGATTTTTGTGGTAAGTTAATGGACACTATAGGGTTGTCTAACAAGGACTACAACAACATATTTTGGGCAGTGCACCCTGGAGGACCGGCAATCTTAAACAGGCTCGAAAAAAGGCTCGATTTGTCACCGGACAAATTAATTGCTAGCCGACGTGCTCTGGCTGATTATGGTAATACTAGCAGCAATACAATTGTGTATGTGATGGAGTATATGATGGAAGAAAGCAAAAAGTTGAAGAATGAACCTAAGAATGATGAAGAATGGGGCTTAATATTGGCTTTTGGTCCTGGTGTTACATTTGAGGGTATTGTTGCTAAGAATCTTACTATGTGAAGAAATATTATGTAGCACTTAATAATGTATGTGCATCAAATGCTGGCCTGGTTATTGTTATAATGTTACATAAAGTCTGAAACTGCTAAGTTTCTTTACTGGTTTAATGTTCAATTGCATGGCCGATTGAAGTTGACTATATTGTAACACTATTGTGCTTTGTACCCTTTACAAAACCTTGAAAGTATAACGTTACACAATGGCAGATCCAAGAAAATAATAATAATGGTCATTTGTATAATTTTATGAGGTAATTGTCGAAAGTTTCCAAATTCAAATTTAAGTGAAGGACGGGAGGTAATTGACCAAATAACCTGCTTTATTGGATCTATTTTTGATTTTGGTGTTATGTCTTAAAATAAAGCAAAAATGCACAAAAAATTTCCAAAAGAACCTCAACCCTAAATCCTATCAGCCCGTCTTCTGTGTTGCTGGTCACACCGTGTGGCCACTGATAAAAGAACAAAGTAATCCCTATAACACTAACCAAATATACCCTGTAATACTAACTGAGTAACCCTATAATACTGACTGAGAAACTCTAAAACACTGACGAAGTAACCCCTTTAACATTGACCAAGTAGCCCCTATTATACTAACAAAGTAACCCCTATGATGATCCGATACGAATTTGAATACGATTATAATTCAAGCAAAATTATTAAATATGGAGCATGAAATTAAACAATGGGGCACATCAATTAGCTGTTAAAGATTTGATTTGTTGAAAATTCCGACTTCAATATTATAAAAAATTTGTCGTTCATGTATGCACTATTGGTCTATTACACTTGTAAATTTATTTTGTCCAAAGTGGTGGAAGCCAAATGGTCCCAATGACCCATATTTGCATGTTTTATTAATCATACGCAACGTTCTTTAGTAATCAGCAGTAAGTGAGTTAGGAAGTAAGAAAGAATATTCCATTCAAGCAATTAATGTAAAATTTAAGCACCTTCCTTTGCTTTTCTTCAAGTTGACTTCATAACTTAATTTGATCAGAATTGTAAATGTGTAATGAATCTAAAGATTGTTTGACAAATACGAGGATACATCGATACATAAGACGACCAGATATACTCAATTATTATTGTTCTATTGTACAATGCAACTTAGATTTGGATTTTTTTTATTACATTAATACGAAGTATAAGTATTTGATAAAAAATCAATCTATCAAAAAAAATTTATTGCATAGTAAAAGAATGATGGAGTAAAAAATACATTAAAGTTGAGTTTATGTGTATTCACTTCACTATTATATGTCGTCATTATTGTATTGGTCTGATCTGCTACACTGCGACCCTCAATCTGTGACCCAACAAGTTTTAAAATTTGATTTCTCATTTACAATTGCTTCACTTAAGAGTAAAGATTGGACAAGACTAGGGTTTCTTTTGATTTAATCCGAAGATTGAGGATTAAACCTCCAACAAAGTAGTTGATGTTAAAAACTTAATGTAGAAAGATCTATGTAATATCTAAAGTAATTATAGAATATAGTGTAGAAAAATAGAATTATCTTGGAGAAGAAAAAGAATCTCGGAACATATATTACCTAAGCAATCTAAGCAAGTAGCTAGAATCATCTAGATGAAAAATAAAGAATTGTAAGAGTATGTCAGGCTACTCGTGTTAACTGACATACAAGTATAAATAGGTACCTGATTTAATATAGTACAATGTAAGAATGTAACCAGTAAAAATTAAGTCAAACCCTTTCATTAAATCTCTCCCTTCCCTTTGTTTACCTCACTAATGTCAATCATCATTAACAAAACTAAGATCAAATGCTACCCTAAAATATAACAAGCTCGCCTATACTTCCACTTACTTTTTAATCGTTAAGGAATGAAGTGAGTAACCACTACATCATGATCTGATTGTGAAAAATAATCTATATACTTTAATAACATCAAAAACGTTTTTGAGGAAACAAGTTCTATATGAGCCAACTAACAATACAGACGAAATGAACACAAACAAACACAGCTTGTATTAAAATCATGAAATCTACATACAACGAAATGGGCATATGCAATGCTGTATTTGACATAAAAATAAAGCAATGTAACAATAATTAGATTTATATGATCTAATAAGTGCCTTTATGTATTTTACTTTGTTTCAAAGATTCCATCACATTTCTCACATGCTATATGTCAGGTAGCTAAGAATTTTGTACAAATTGCTAGACAAAGTTAAATGGGGTTCAGAGATAAAAAGAAGTACGGAGTATTTGATCAACAAGAAAATTAAAAAGGCAAAAGAGATGTTCACTCATCATATGTTAATATGTTTATGTATCACTTTTTTGTCTCCTCTTTGCTTTGAATCTAATTTAGAGGTGTCTTGCAAAAAGATTATTCTGCCCATCAACTTTGCTAGATCATCATATATTCATATGTACACCATTACTACCCTTTTGCACCATATTGTCCATACTCTCTTTGCTGTAGTAGTGTCACTTAAGTCATCTACCGAGTACGAGTGCATTATTAAAGGATCGAAGGAGATCGGAGGATGAGATTTGAACCCGTAGTTATTCATATTAGATTTTTCATGTCTTAACCAAATGATTAAGGTTATGATTAAATGGTATTTCCACTATCAATTCAATGCAACATAATTTCGAAATAGCCACATAGTGAAACAAAAACTTGTTCTCGAAATTTTAAAAATCTATAGATATGCCTCTTATGGTTATACAAACTAATTTATATAACCCTAAGAAACACCCCAAACATTTACTTTCGATAAAAATTCCAAAATTGCCTCGAAAGCATGGATTATTACACCTTGGACAATTTTGGAGTTTTACAGACATGAAAATGAAAATATCGAGGTGTACTGTTGTTCATGGACCCCACAACATCCTGGCCTGTTAATCCAATCGGGTGGTTGAAACCATTTACTTTACCTTTAAATTGTCACTCTGATTCCTTCATTAACTCAAGGCCACCACGAGACTTTATACTTGTATATATGTGATTTATTTTATATGATTGATTGGTGGTCATGTAATATATGGTTCCAAGTCCGTTCAATATATATATGGTTGTAAGCAATATTGTATACTCTGTATATCAAATGTATGACCCAAAGCTGCGCCCCTAACAATTCAATTTTTTAATGCCTTCATTATATTAATTTAAAATGAAGTTTAGAATTGAAACTGTTTTCTTTTTGCTATATTATATGTATAGGGAACCAGTGAAAAGCAAATGAACACATACATATTGAACTAGACATGTGATATGGATTACTTTTTTTTCATGTCATAGTCCTCGTAGATTTATGGCTCGATGTATAGAATATCATATTATTATCTGCTTAGATATTTAATTTTGTCATCACAAAATAAAAAACTTTTGGTACAACAGGATGTAATAATACAAAAAAGGTACAATATGGGAGCAGTGGCGGACCCAAGAATTTCCGACTGGTGAGTCACAATCGATAACCAAATATGTAAAAAAAAAATTTACCAAAATTCCTAAGAAAAATTATTTACAAAGATCATCCAAATAGAAAATTGACAAGATTACAATACTAACTTATAATTAACAAGCTTAAAATTGACCTAAAATAATAATCACAATAATTAACAAACTAATTTATTTATTTAATTTTTTTTTTTAAGAAACTTAATAATTTTTTTGGGCCCTGGTGAGTCATTTGACCCACCAGGCACAAAGGCAGGTCCGCCGCTGTATGGGAGAAAATAACTAAAATAAATATTGTATGTACATAGTTTAAATTATGCCATACGAAGTAGCAAAATTTTTGCATAGGGTCCTTCGTCCACTTGATCACTTCAGTTTCCACTAACAATTAGTTTAACTTAATGGTCGTAACACAAAACTAGTGTCCTTTTAATTAGTCTTTTAACTTTTTGATGAAATAGAGAATCAAGCTAATCTTTTCTTTTTTTTTTTTTTTTTTTTTTGAGGAAAATCAAGCTAATCTCATTGACCTATTAATTTGGAGATTTTATTTAATTATCTATTAATGACTGAACGACAAGAAAGTTAAGATTGCTAGACCATTGTCAAAATATAGAGTACTACAATCTGAACTATATTTGATACATTCACGTTCTTATCATCTCTCCTATCTAAGCAATGTATTGTCTATAGCTCAATTAATTACAAGTTGTCATATACCTATATTGCTAGTTCAAATTACTCATTTCGTCTCTATTATTTCTTCTTATTTTTACTCTTTTTGTGAGACAATCACTGTCCAAATAGAAAGATCGATTAAACTTTTATAATTTTCCATAAATGTGATAATTAACTTCAGTGCACTACTTTTAACGAAAATGTATGAAAAAGACGTATGAACAGTTAAGACAGAGAAAAGTTTGTTTGAACGAACTAACACATATCTCATTATTTCAACGAATGTTACAAATGAAAAAGAACTTTAGTACAAAAAGATCATAATTGCCACTCTATATCTTGAGTAACAGTAAATATAAGCTTAGCTTAAACAAATTAAACATGAATTTGAGGGGTAATAATAGTATTGAATTAATTAAGGGCACTTGCGTTTGCCGTCGCGAGTGGTCAAACTTGCATAGCATTCACATTTATCGTAGTTGCCGTAAGTGCCTGGTGGCACACAGTTGCACCTTTTGCAGCAACTTCCACACGCTCTTTGGCATAGATTTGGTCTACTTGATTTGCTACACCTTACTAAACATGCTGCATCACAATCTGTAAAAAAAAAAAAAAAATTACATTTTCATTAGGATTTTCTCAAGGTAACGAGATAATGATGAGTAAGTAGCTAAAAGTCGAAATATTGCACAAAATATTAAGTCAGTACTTGTATTAAGGGAGATGATGTATCACTTTATATTGCATTAATTATACGTAATTACATTTTGATAAAATGTTACAAGTCTAATGGTTAATTCGATTGAAAAAAATTGTCTTGAGGTGTGAATTCAATTAATTAATATGAGTACTTTTTAGAGGAAAACATGCATAATATCATGAAAAGAACCGTCCAAATAATAAATAACGAGAACATACCTATGAATCCACCGGGTGCCGGGCTTATGACGCTACCAGTAGGCTGCATGGTCAAACAAACGGTTAAATCAGCCAAAAAATAACAGAAATAATGCAATTGTAACTCATTTTTTCACAAGCATAATAGCTTTTAATTTCTCTTTAATTTTTAAAAACAAAGTATTGATTATTTCAAAAAATTTATCCCAAATAATAAATGTTTTCATACAAAT